GCTTTGAATGTTATATTGTGAGATAAGAAGGATGTTTGGTTGGACAAACATTGGCCAAGGCTCATAAATAATGGTTTTAGATTTATGCATGAGCTGGGAATTGTGCATAAAAAACTGCCAAAGAGAAGACAGGGTATAACATTAGGAAGTTCCAATCAAATTCTTCTGCAGATTTTTGTCGCCCGGGCAAGCAGATTCACATTTATCCTTTGTAGATAGGAATATTTTTGCAGCTAGGTATCATGTGGGATATGTCACCACAACGTACGCGTGTACGTTGTGGTGGACATTGTGTGGTATACATATACATATGTCAGAGCTCATGCATACCACATGGGTCCAATTGAATGAGACATAATTGCAATCACCAAATGGCCCTGTCAAAGGCAAATTCTAACATGCAACAAACCAGTCCAAACCCACTATGCGTACTTGTGAGGCTAGAAATTGCGGGGATCCAGATAATTGAGTAATTGAGATGTTGTTCACAAGATAAGGGAACAAAGGAGTTGTTCAATTCCATTGGGACTAAATCACTACACATTCCTGCTTATTCCACCGTTAAATGAATGCAGGGAAGCAGCAAGAAGAGGTTTGACGCCTTTGTTAGCAATAACCACGGTACAAGTGTCTGCTCTACCCTCCACTGTTGGGAGGAACAGGATGTGCCATATAATGAGGGAGTTTTAGATCAGTCTCTCCAGTGGCCCCAATTTCCACTACTCTTTCAAATTACCAGTTAGAAAACTACCCAGCTCTGACATAATCAACAAACTAGAACTATGATTGAGATAGCTGCCAATGTACATCTTTCCAACAAAATTAGTATACATGGTGTTGGATATGAATTGCATTTGAAGGCTCCCATTGCATCTTACAATCTCAACCCTCCACATTTAACCTATCAACAATATCATATTATACTTAAATCAACCAATGATGTAGTTCCTGCCATTCTCCACGATAGTTTCAGTCAAATCTTCCTTTTGGGGGGTTTAATCATATGTCCTCTCTCAAATGAACCAACAATTATTGTAGAGAGGTCAAAGTGGCAAGTTCACCGGGGTGAATTTACTGACGTACATCACTACGAAAAAGCCCAGCTTTTCGGGAGGGCTTGCGTTGAAAAGGTCCACCGGCATCTGTTTTGCAAGAGGATCACTCACGTTGAAGTTAGTGAAATAAAAAAGAGAAAGGTGTGTTGTGGGTCATTATCCAAATGAACAATGATTGCAGGCATTTGACTGAGCTAACATTATGGTGTGGATCTGTTTGACCCATGACTCTGCAATCTCTGTGGATAAAGTCTCAATATGGCTGCATGCTTTTTTCTTCACTTAACTCCGAGGCCTTCAAAACTTTTCAACATATTCAACCTGGGGATTGCATCAGCTTTGCAGGTGTGGCGGCAAAAGTGCCAAGTGCCTTGAGTGGATTGCTGACCATTGGTGTAAGTGTCCTTCTCCATTTGAAAATTCACAATATAAATCAGACACTAATGATGTGGTTGATTTTTTCTCATATCAGGTTGAGTGTGTAACAAAACTTGATCGATCTGAAAGAACCAAATACGGCTTGAGGCCAAATCCGAAAAAGAGGTTCGAACTGAAAGTGAAGGACTGGAACAAGCACCGAGCCACCAAAAGACGTAACCCCAAAAAATTGTATTACAAAAGAAAATAAAAACTTCATTCCGTTTTATTTACACTACACAAGACCACATACATTAGGAAGATTAGGATGTAGTAGAAATTCAACACACCTTGTCATAGCTCTCCATTAGAAATGCCCATCTGTTTTTTTATGTATTGACAAATCTCCGGGTTTCAAATGATATCTGGTTTTTGCCTGTTGGAAAGCTCATACGGGATACTTGAAGCCCATGTGATGCTGCTTGCTGAAGGTGATTAGCCAGATGTAATTTTGTATTATCACCCACATTTTGCACAAACCCATTCATCTAACAATTTTCAACAAGTAGATAGACAGGTGGACCTTGAAAATGTCAAGGCCTGCATCAAAAGCTTTGAATACGGACTATAACTTGTACATAGCCAGGAGATTGTGGAATTGGAGGTTGAAAAGCAATGGAAGGCTTCTGCATGGGAGAAAATCTTGGAACAAATGTGGAATAATTTAGTTGCATTGAATTGGGCAACACCACCCAAAGCTCAGAACAACTGAGAGTCTGAGTTCAGACAAGGTGGAAATATGGGTTAAAAAATAACAAAAAAAATGGTACGATTGAGAACACATGTGGGGAACGTGAGCTGGAGAAGAGGTTGTATAGGATCAATGTTGTATATACAAGGGGCCAGAATCAACTTTCTGGGATTTGACGAGCAGAATGTGGAATAAGAAATGGCAAAGTGGGCTGGCAGTCTCTCCAGTGATTTAAAAAATCAACTGTGATTGCCTCTGCAATCTCATGTCGAGTGGGGTTCTTCAATAGGTGAGAGATTTTGGTCGGGTTGCTGAAGGCAGGGGCAAATATTGTAACGAGGTAAGCTGCCAGGTTTTTCCAAATAGGTTCTGCGGGTGTGTGTGCCAAGGTTGAGTGTTGCTTGATGATGGTCATGGCTTGGATGAATGACATGCAATCAGATGTTGATGCACTACGGTAGTTTCTCGATACAAGGAAGAGCCCACGAACTCCCCCCAGGAGAAAGAAGATCAAGGGTTGGAAGTTTTGTCAGCGTTGGTAGCTAGCCATTTGTCGAGTGGATTCTTCTCAAACCTTAGCCAACTCAGAAGAATCTCCTGGGGAGTTAGTGATGGCCCCGGCAGCAGGTTGAGCAGAATTGCGGCAGTTGCAGGATTTGGCCTTCTTCTTGGTTTGGGACAATGGTGCCTGGCTGAGTGCGTGAGTTTGAAAGATGATGTATGCTGCGTAAACATCAAGAATGACACTACGGAATTCGTGAAGAACATTGCCAGAAGAAGCTCGGGGGGCAGGCTAAGGATTGTTGGGGGGCGGGTCTGTGTCAGGAGTGTCAAAACTGGACGAAGAGTTCTTGATGGCCTCAATTTGTTTGAGTACCTGTACACCTTGCACAAGTTGGTCGTCGTTGTCAGTGATGGGGGCTGGTGGAGCGTAAAGATTGTCGGCCATCAATTCAACAGATGCAGCAACAATCTTTGACCATTCTGTGATTGATGGTTGGGCAGGGTGTGCGAGCCGATAGAGGAAACGGATTAAGGTCAACTCGGGATGTGGGGTCTTTGAATGAATCGAAATATGAGGTTTGGAAGGATTTTCTTTGTTTCTGAACTTGGCAAGCAGGTCAAAATCGAGCACATTGGGGCAGTACCATTGTTCATTGTGGGAAGGGGACAAGAAACCCTTTGCTACATGACAGAACATGATTCAGTGAATGTGTGGGTCAGGCAAGGCTGAAGGAGAGCAAAAGACTTACCCAACCCGCTGATTGTCTGAATCCAAGATGGGTATGAGCATGTAGTACGTTGGAAGTTGAACTCGTGCTTGGGTGGATCTGCAGCCCTGCATTGATTGAGCCCAGAACTGAACCAAATTTGTGAGCAAGGTGCAAGTGGCTTGATGATTTCGATTCGCACATCATCAGACTTGATGATGGTAAGTTGACTGGGGTTTGAGGAAGCGGTCCGATTTGGTGGTTGTTAGGGTTCTTCTGAGGGGAGCAGGGCAGGATCTTCTGAGTTCGGGTTCGTAATGGTAGATTGCAAGATGAGGAATGTACAAGGTTCGGATCTCGAACGAACTCCAAGTTCGAAGTTCGTGACATGTACGTAACAGGCTCTCTACATATGTAACGTCCCCAGTTCCAGTCCTCCACAGCTCATAACACTATCCCCCCTTTAATGCCCAAGCCGCCCCCGTTGTTGTTCTAGAAAAATTTAACTATGGATAAAAAATAAAATAAAAAAATCCTCCTCTTTTGGCTCTGCATTCTTTCCCCGGGCAGCGTTAAAAAACCCAGTGGGAAAAAGCTTGCCCTCTCACTTCATTCTCCGTGACCTCTTGTGTCTTGACGCCGCATCCGGAAACTTGATTATAATTCGGCGACCAGTTCTCGCGAGTGTGCCAAGTTGACCTCGGGTTCCCGGTCTGGTGCAACATTGGAATGGTTGTGGATTGACGGAGGTGCAGGTTCAATTGGGATATTATTGGGACTAATATTGTTAGTTGCTGCGGGAGAAGAGGGTGGAATGGGTGCTGCTGCATCTGAAGGGGATTCTTGCGGTGTGGAACTCCAACGGTGCTGGCCGGTGGCAGTTGGTTGAACTTGAGGGGAAGGTGCTGAGAAGCTGCCATCGTCGTAGGTCCGGATGAGAAGTGTGAGGGGTTGGATTTGGTGAGAAGACAGCAGAAATTGAGTTCTGTGGCGATGGTTTGAGTTTGAGGATCTTGAGAAGAGTAAGGTTTGAATTGAGAAGATCTGAGAAGATGAATTGAGTTCAAGAGTATCAGGATCAGAAGAATCAAGAAAACAAGATCAATAAGGTTTGATGGGTTTATCTTGGATCAGATCAGAATGCCATGCCGCCCCATCATCTCAGTTCAAACTGAACTTTGACTCTGGGGAGTGACATGTCACAGACATGTCATCACATCCCTAACTACACAAAACTCAACCAGAAAACAAAGACAACACAACACAACCCAAAAACAAAGACAACAAAACAAAACACAACAAAAGAACAAAAGAAGAACACAGAATAGAACAAACAAACAAGATCAGAATAAACCAACATAAATGAAACTATGTCTTAGGACCAAGAAATAAGAAACAACACTGTCTTCTGAGTAAATGATTTGAAAAAAAAAAATTAAGAATAATAAAATGATAAAAAATAAAATCAAGATGAATAAAAAATAAAATGAAGAGTAAATAATAAGAGGAAATGAAATAAAATAATAAAATGAGGAAACCATTGGACTGAGTGGGGATTTTGAGGTGATAATATTGAAATCTTGAGTTCTGAGGATATTGAAAATTTGAAAGTTGAATTCTGAAGAGGGGGCCTGTACCGTTTAGAACACCACAGCGGCACTCGATCTTGTGGCTGAGCAGGGTCCAACAGGGGAAGTTGAGACACGTCGGATTGCTTTTCCGGGGGTGATGACTGCTTTAGGCTTGCACGTGTGACAGTTTTCTTACTCAACAGGTCCACCGGCTTGGTTGGTTTGCTCTTTCAGAGGCGTTTTTGGGGAGGCGGATTGCTGCCATGGGATGTGTGTCTGCCGGGGCTGACTGCTTGAATCTTGATTGCTTCTCCTGCTGGAATTTCACCAGTCTCGTGAAATGCTACCAGAGTGGGAAGCAAGGTTCAGGGTGGTTTTTGTAGGTGAGAGGGAGTATGGGGGAAATTTTACTCACTGCGTTTGGTGGTGGTGAGGGTACGGCCAAGCAATTCAACCAGGTCTTTGACACTGCGAGGGAGCTTGAGGTTGGGGAGTCCTTCGGTAGCATGTTCAGCCGCTTTAATTGATTGTTCAAATTCCTTGGCCGTAATCTGCTGGATTTCATTCTTGAGGAGGGGTTCCGCCGGAACAAGGGGAGGAGGTGGTCCAGGGGCGTTTTTTCTAACAGAGAACTCTTCAAACTTTGGTTCTTGGGACGGGAAGTTGGCCTCAATGTCCTGTTGTGCTGTGGGTGAAGGTCAGTAATGGTATTCAAGGAAAGATGTCTGGATATAGGTGAACATACTGGGAGGAGGAGTGGAGGCCTGTGGCTTTGGTCCTGAAGAGGGATCGGTGGATTGTAGTGCACCGGGTGAGGGAGTGGGCATAGGAGGCTGGTCAATGTTCATGGTGATGATGAGGGTTGAAGTGCAATCAGGTGAGTGGATGAAAATGTTGCAAAATATCAAGTGGACCAGTGGGAATCTGGAATGCAAGACAGGGAAAAGGAGGGAAAGGGAGGTCTTATATATTCCTGGAGAATGGTTTTCTAGAATAACCCCATTGTGTGAAAATTTTCAACCACCCCATTGTCCACCCACAATCCACCTTTGTGATGACATCACCTGATATATTGGCTATGTTTTCCAAAACTCTTGTAAATCTTAGCTCATTGATGAGCCAACAATTGGTCAATCATGAGATAAGCGGATTATGCTATCAGTATTCATGCTTTCAACAGAGTGGACCAATCATCTACCATTGATCAGATGATGTGCTAAGCTAGAATTTACTGATAAGGGGGGTGATCCTGAAAGAAAAACCAGCCAATGGAGTTCCATGCAATGAAATGATTAAGCAGATTTGTGAATATAATCATCAGGATTAGTATGTTGTAGTACGCATGTACTGTGTAAGTATCATAGGGGAACTAGATCAGTAGTCCAGACAAATACTGTCTGAATGTCACCTCAATGTACGTGCGTGTATTTGGGTGACATTGGGACCGAGTTCAGACCAACTAGCAGTAAACTTCTGGCCCCCTACATGTGTCTTGACTCTGGTTATCAAATCCCCCTCTAGTGCAAGTCTGGTGTACATTGTCACCATACTGTACGCGCGTACGTTGAGGTGACATCTCAATCTCAAAAACTTTGGGCCTTATTGGTTCGACAATACAAAATATTTATAAGGACCACATCAACACAAATCCTTTTCAGAATCGATCATTCTAATTCAGAACGGTTCACAGAAGTCTACACATGTGTAAGTCTATGACACCCACAGGAAGGGGAAAACTAAATCTAACTAATCAACATTCATGGTCTCTCCAGTGGTTGTGCGTGGACCCTCCTGAGATGCTTCACCCTGCCCACCGGTCAGAGACGTGTCGCCCAATCTTTGCTTATTGTTGTTCTGAGTTGAGCTTCCCGTTGGAGCATTGGTGCCAGTTGTTATGGTTGTTCCCAGGCAGTGCTTTTTGAGGTTTTTAGCAATGTCACCCAGGCCTATTGTGGACGCTTGAGAGATGGTTTGCTGCTCATAAGGACTCAATTTATCCCACCACGCATCTTCATAGCAATCGCAAGGCAAACCCCTTGGGACCCCCCTAATCCCGGTAAAAGTCTTGAAGAGTCTTTGAGAGCAACCATAGACCAACAAGTTGTTTTTGATTGTTTGGTGATGAGTTGCCTGGGCCTGCACCATTTTATCAAAACAATGCAAGATCGAAGTTATAGAACCGCTACTCCAATTTGGGCCTCAAGGTGACGGGCAACAAATCGTTTGGGCCATCTTCAACATTGGAACCGCAGTCCTTGTTTTCGCAGATGTGCGCCAGACTGATATTTCCTCTCAAGACTTTTCCGGCCATTGAGCACCTGTTTTCCCTTATCTTTAACATGTTTCAAAAATGTATTCTGAATCAGTAGCAATAAACAAAATACAAATTGAAGAATTTTCACACCTTCTTTCTCCATCTTTTGTACTATGCCTTGGTAGTTCGCCCCTTTTTCATTTGATTGTAAGCTTTGCTGCCCATGTTTGTGGCATCTCGAATTTCCCCGCTTTTTGTGTGGACCCATCGTAGTATTATTGCCAATGCTTGGCAAGCCTGTTTGTCGGTGATTGGTGTGGATCGGCGGAGCCATTCGACGGCCCGGCTTCCCAGGACCTCAACAACAGCAGAATTCCACAGCGATTCAGAGATATGACTAACATCCCAGTCAAAAGTGAGCCGTGAGATTCCCGCCAACACGAGTGATCTCTCAACATCCCCCTTTGTCTGAGCACTGACTGGTTTTCCCTTGTGAGGACCAATTTGAACAACAGGAGTGAACGGAGGCATCTTGATGTTCTTCCGGATTTCTTTTTCAGCCTGAGAGACACAAAATTCTACCTCCGCAGGCGCCTTTCCCTGGAGCTTCTCACGTAATTGACTGAGATTTTGCTTGATTGACTCAGCCCTTCTTTCCCCCCAGTAAAGTGCCTTGAGTTCGTCAGGTGTTGGAGCCGATGGATAATCTTGAGGTTGTTTTGGATTGCCCAGAAAGAATTTGATGAAGCTTTGGATACCCCGAGAGTACTTGTCGCAATGTTCTGCCAGGACCCGTTTCCCAGCAATTCCCCTAACTCTCTTTTCAGCTCGTCTGCTACCCTTGTTCGCTTCCATCTTTTCCCTCTCCCGCCTTGCATTTTCAACCACAAACTTTGGGTCCAGTCGAGATGTTTTGGGGACAGTGCTTGGTTCTGTCTGCGCACCACCTTCTACACCTTCACAAATTTGTCAGAACACAGATTTGAAATAGACTGATTATCCACTAACCTCCCATACCAGTTTCCATTTGAGCAGAAGATTCATTGGCCGGAACAAAGCAATCAACAATAGCCGAAATCCAAGCATCTTCCGGATCTACCCCAGACGGAGCAGCATCATCTGAAGTGTCTCCTGGACCACCACCGGGAGCCATGTCACACCAAAAGTATATAATAGATTATTTATACATGTGAAAATAGGGTTTTTAAAGTTCAGGCAAAGGTTTATAAGACAGACAGACACCGTTGTGCTTTAATGTGATAAAATTTGACCGGAGCAGGAGAGACAGATGATTCCGGGTAAAAACCAACAAAGTAAAGCTGAATTGATTGGCAATGGAAGCCTAAGTTGAGGGATTGATTGCAAGTAACTGAGGGCAAAAGTCTCTGTCCCAGGTCAATAATGACTGTCTATGTGACAAGTAAGATAAAGCATACACCATGCACACACTGGCAAAAATCAAAAGAAACATCTTGCTCGTGGTAGAATCTCAATGGTCCCCCAATCTCTCCCACCCCTAAAAAATATGGGACTACCAATGTCAGCCAAACAAGTACACACACTGACTTTATATTGTGACTTACAGCAGTTCCTAATCCCACTGCGCTAATTGTTTCCATTGGGAATCCAAACGTTGAGGCTGGATTCACCAGAATGGAAACGTGACCAATAATCCTTTCACCATCAATCACCTTGGCAACTTCATGATTGATCTGGACCAAACAACAGTTGAGATCGGGGTAGTCCCTGTATGGATCTTCATCCCTTACTACTTCCTTAAATGGTTTGACTACAAACCAAGTTTTCCCAGGTGTTTGGTGTGATCGGAATATTTGCTCCATGTGCCCAAACCTCTGATCCTTCCCTAGGTAGAACTCGACTGAACCATTCCCCTTGTGCCGATCGGCGGTGGTGAACATCTTCCCACCAACCTTGCAGTATTGAACCATTTCCACTACCGGGCCAAGTTCTGGAACTCCTAAACTTGCACCCAGCTTCCCCCTTGTACCATCCTTACCAGCCACTGCCCTTTTCCACTGTTTCATCAAGGGTTGTGTCAACATCTGAGATTTGGACATGTTTTCATCGTCCGGCCTTTCTGGTGACGTGTGATCATGTTTGGAGGTGTGGTCTTTGAGAATTGCCTGAAACCTCAAGTTGATGTGCCATTCCTTCATCAGTGTCTTTGGTATCTCATCTGCAAATAACATGACACACAAATTCAGTTATGGCATGAGCATATGAATCGAAGAAACTTCCACTCACTTATGTGGTGATTGGTTGGAAGCTTTTGCAACATCCCATTCACTCTTTCCTGTGCCCAGGCTGCTGTGGATCGAGGCGGACCAAAGCGACGGATATTGTCCGAGTAATGTTGTGTCACGTGAATATTTGGTGTGCTTGCTAGTGCTGGCCAGCCTTTCTGCAAGACTTGTCGGTATTCAAAAATCAGATGATCCAGCTCATCAAGATCTTTGATTTGAATTTTGGGGAGAGTTAGGAAGTGGGCAATCTTGCACAATAAGGTGGTTGATTCCAAGAGTGAGGATATTCTCCGTTTGCTCTCTTCAGTCGCTGATTCCTTTTGTGATTTAGTCCACAAGGGAATCAATGCAATTGGATAATAAACCTTGTACAATATTAACCATTCAGCTGCCTTCAAAGACCCATGGCTTGCCAAACCCAAGCTACGTGGGACACGATCAATCCATGACGGCACAATGGTGTGCAAAATTGTCCTCCGCACTATGTTCCGTTCTTCGGGCAGGATTTTAGGTTGGCCCATATCTGTAATTGGGGAGTCTGCATCTCGGCGTGTTTGGTGTTGGGCCCTAGTAGCAGTGTGATCACTTCCGCAATCGTCATCGGAGTCAGTGGTGACCTCCTCGTTCAAATCACACGCTACCCTTTTTCGGATTCTTAGCTGATACAAATGTGTGGTTGAAGCATCCGAATTCCCCTCGGATCCGGAGCATGATCTGTTTCCTCTGTCTGTTTGGTCCTCCTCTCCTCCGATGTTTGCTGTTGTATGTCTCCGCTTGCTTGGATTTTCTTCTTCAGCGGCCTCTAATTTCCGCTTTGCCTTGGTCTTGGGGCCAGGTTGATTGTCAAATGGATGCTCAGTGTATGACAAGTCATTCTGCCATTCCGTGTCCTTCTCTTGCATATCCTTGAGTTTGGATCCGGCTGATGGCAAAGACAGGAGCCGCATTGTGTGATCTTTCAAGTCACCCAAAATCAGTGCATGCATCAATTCAATTGGCTGCCAGTAAGGGAGTTCATTAAGTACACTCCATGTTGCACCGTGTTCTTTGACATACTTCTTCCTTTCAGTCGCATTTTGAAGTTCAAGCCAAGCATCAGCGTGTTTCCGGTGTTCCTCATTTTTCCTTAGGGGAAACTTGGACTTATCAATCTCTTTAAGGTCATGTTTGCTCAACATACAAAAAGAGAAAAATCTAGTTGAAAAATGGCTACCAAAACCTGCAGCCTTCCGGAGGGCTGGAAGATTGGCAATAAGGGGGAAGATTGCAGCTCGGATGATCCTACCTTGGGGATGAGATGCGGTTGACTCAAAGAATATTCCAGTCCAGAGATCCTTCAATTCATTCACCAATGGACGTAATAGGTGGTTTACCTCTTCTAGACTTGGTTCCTTTGGTCCCGGGATAATTCCAAAGAGAAAGATGTTCTCCACCTTGTATCGATCTTCCAGAGGAATGTTCAGGCAGATGAGGATGACTGCTCCAATTGAATTGTGCTTCCCAATATTTGATGTCCCCTCGGCATTAAACCAATCAAGATACAGACTGAAGACAAGGTTTCCGCTCTTCTTGGTGTAGATCCCACTTCCATCATCCAAGTTGGGAAATTCCTGCCAAACACGTCCATGCCACACATCCTCCATGTCTTGAAGCGGATCCCAACTAGCCGCTGAAAGACTTGAGTCAAGAAGAGATTCAAATGAAGGTCGAGAGAGCTGCGCTTTTAGCCAGGACTTCATAGTTACGTATGAATAAGTGTGAATTGGTTTTGATTTATGTTGTTTGTCCAATTCAAAGAGATCTTGGTCGCATGTGGGCTCAATTGCTTGTGATTTGGCCCACTTGCAGTAACCCTGGTATTGGGATAAGAAACTCTGAGTACACTTGGCCGGAGCGTCTGTGTCACTGTTGCTTAGAGGATACAGTGCAAACCACTTTTTGCAACATATCTGTGTTGTAATTTCTGGATTGAGGCCCAGAAAATGGAAAATGGCATCCTGGGTCTTGGGGATTTGTTGGATCAGATCTGCTGTATGTATGACTCTTCCCTTAGAGCTCCAGAGCTTTCCTAAGAATGAGACATTTTCCCTTGCTGCCTTGAGGAAAGATACTACCGCCCCCGCCTTGCTCAATTTGTTTTTCAAAACAGATTCAGCCATTTGAATCGTGACCTGTTTGGAAAGATCCTCCTCGAAAATGGGCAGCTTGCTGTTATCAGTTACACATGGATTTGAAGTCGATGCCGTGGGAATTACCTAACCCTGGATTATATCAGCCATCAAAAATATCATTCTTGAGAAACACTTTTGTCTGGATTACAACTCACACTTGGTTCGCTAGATACCACCGAGTTGACTTCCAAATGCTGGGCCTCTTGCTTCTGCTGGTGCATGGTGACTTGCTTCTGATGCTGCAGGAATACCTTCTTTGACAAAACCCTCCCAGAGAAAACTCCTCCTCCTTCTTCTTCATGTTGGGTGGTATTGCACCCGTGAAGTTCACAGTGACAAACATGCATTGGTTGGTTGGGCATTGTGCGTAGGATCAGAGGCGGAGTTTGGCTGGTTGAAAGGTTTTCTTGTTCTAGTACAAAGAAATCCAATCTTCAAACACTGTTATTTCTGAAAGCGTGAGGGATTTAGACACACAAAAACTCGCTGAAGAGACTGGGAAACTGCCACTGGTCTCTTCTGATGTTGGGTTCATATGTAAACATAGAAATATCACCTATGGCTGTTTGGAACAAGGCAACCTGTTGTACAACTTCTTACAATCTGATTACGTGTAATTCATGTCATGATTCATGCAGTGATCAAGATTACATGTGATTCGGAGCAAACCAAACAAGATGTGTTGATTGGCGTGTCATCCAAACAGCCCTGCATTGCTGAATACCTCATGGCTGACCAGTTCAACATCTTGATGCCCGTACTAACAACCTTAAAGTGATACGTCAAGTTGAATAATAGATACTGTTCAAAAAATAATTCACATCACGCTCAACCAGAGCAACATTGACCTCACTTCTACTCAGGCTTTTCTGTTATTTGGAGTGTGTTCCAACATAAGAGGATCACATTTTCCACTCTCCCATCTTTCCCAACCATCTGCCTCCAAAATTTTATTCTATCGGCCAGAAAAATTCCATACTAGTTATACATAACCTAAAGATCATGTCTCAAATCCAAGGTCCTTTGGATGTTTGTATTACATTAGCTCCTATCCAAATTATGTGGCTCAAAGACCAACAGTCCATGATTAACGATGTATTAAAGAAGTATGAGCCGGCACCTGAAGATCAACCATCCCCCTTATCCCACATAGACGAATATGAACAGGACCGTAGAGCCTGGGATTGGCATGTTCTTATTAGTGGTAGAGTGACTGCGGCCGCAAGAGACATGTCTATTCCCAAATGTGAAGGCTATTTGGGATGCTTGAAGGAACATTTATGGAAAAGATATGCCTGCTTTGATTTGGGCAAATCAACCATCTTGATTTTTGCTGACTTTGCCTTTAACCAGGACCACTTCTGTTCACTGCCCCGGGGGCCATCCCTGGCCAACAAACCGGCACTAATTAGAGCAGCACATGGAATACGCTAACTTCTTGGTGGTCAATAGTGAGTTAAAGAACTACATGACTTGTTCCACAAATGAATTACTGACCCTGCCCCCTGTTCCGATTAGTTTTTGGATTTGAAAAGCCTCAGAATGTTTTCTTGGATCATGCCTCTCAGCCTTTGAAAAGTGTTCCCTTGTGTGCCGTGAATCTTGTTTCCTTTTGTGACACATCCAAAAGCTATTTGCATCTCCATATTCTCGCATCCATTCACAGTTTGCTACTTCCTCCTTTACACATCTTCCTTGCTCCCAAAGGATCAAATAACCATCACACCAAATTCTGCCACTGTCACTCCTCAATTGTCATGTTTACCAACTGTCATGCAGCTATATACATACCCCTTATGTATTTGAGCTATCATAAATTGCTTGTCTGCATAAAACGGAGATGAGATACACGTACAAGATATACTTTTAAAGTGAGATGGGCTTTGCACTCAGGCGCGTACAATCGGGTGACACATATCTTCAGAAATAGCCCGTGAAATTTTCTGTTTGTGGTTTAAGGAATCCTTGACACAAATTTGTTTTTGCATTCAGCCCTTTCATTTGCCCAAAGTCACCCAAATGTACGCACGTACATTACCGTCACAACAATTGCACCACCACCAGTCACTTTGCCTAGTCCAACCCCCGGGGAATATTCAATGCCTTTTGTTTACATGTATTACTGATCCCTTTCATCTCAAGATTCCCATTTTCCCATCAGGATACCCTTGTCTTTTGTGTATCTCAAGAGTAAGACTATATATATCCCATTCCTCACTTCATTTCCTCAGCTTGATCCCACATTCCGATGCCTTGAACTCTCAGTGATTGATGTCCCCATCACAAAGTCACTTTCCAGGTGGAAACCCTCCAGTTGGGGGTGAGAACGTAAATCGTGCATATTCAACAATCCTACCCAATTCCAATTCCTCATTATCTCGTTGTATATCAGCATTTGTCCGAGTCCTGCTGGATATTGAATACAACACAAAGAAATCCCCTTCCAATACATGGATGAAAACTCCTTCAGCCCACAATTTCCATGTTGGCTCCAACCTGCCTGAATCTATTATCCTGTGGCCTATCGATTGCATCTCACCTGGTTCACTTTGATCTACTAGCAAAAGGATTGCACCGGTCTTTCAAAATATATTCATCCGGGATATCTCAATCTCTGATTTCCCAGGAGTTACCTTTGCTTGGGATCATCCATGGGATTTGCCATGGAACCAAATCTTTGCAAAGTTTGTGTTGAAACATTGGAGGAATGGCTACACAAGTGGTGCCTTCGCCCCTTTTTTCATGAATCCTGTCAAAGCCGTAAACACCATCCTCCAACTTGGCATTCTCCACCGTTGGTTCCTTGGAAGGCAGAAAGGTGTCCAATTAGGCCAGTTCTCACATGAAAGCAAGGCAAAGAAGAGCAAATCCGAAAAGAAATCTAAAATCAGAATACAGGCATGTACCATTTATTGGTGTTTCCCAGCTGAAGGTATATATATATATATTAACACAATCCTTGTCCTCAGATATCACAACACTGTCGAGAAACACTGTTGAAGCTCAACGTAACCACTGAAACTGCAGCATTATTTGACAACATTAAATCTACCTCCAACACCGAACAGATACCCCCTTGGGATCTCCTCAAAATTCCTCTGCCCTGGAGATCAGAAGAATTCTGCTCATTTGCTCAGAAACTGGACAATATATTTTATTGATAAACAATCCAGTAACAAAGGGAGCCAATTTGTACATGAATTTGTGCTAGAATCTTGCAGGAAAAATCCGACTTCATCTGAACCCCAGCGAAACCTTCTCAATCCCAAGGGCGCGGTAGATCTTTTGGAAATCATGAACATCAGATGATCTCTCATCCCGTGAGTTCTCCACATGTTCAACCTATCAGATCTTTCATCAATAGCTGAGCACACTCGTAATTCTCATTCCCACCTGAAGGTATGCTTAGCCTGTTTTAGAATCAAGTCATTAGTCAGTAACTATGACTTTAAAATTGTGATTGAAATCACCAACATTGCTAGTTTGCCTTTTCTCTTCTGTACCTGGTAGATGTTCATTTTGAGACTACCTCTTACATAGTACTGATACACATGAACTGGATTAACTTGTCCTAGCCTGTATAGTCGGTCAACAGCCTGAATCTCTGCTGCGGGGTTCCAACCTGGTTCCTGGATGATGTAGTATTATTAGTTTGATTTGAATTGTGTTGAATCAAAATCTTGGAACAGCTTACCATCATGTACACATTCTGAGCGCACCGCAAATCAATCCCAACCCCACCTGCTTGTACTGAAGCCAATAAGACATTACAGGTGTTGTTGGTTTGAAATTCTTCCAATTTTTCATCCCGTTTTTTTGGAGTGTTGTCCCCCGTGAGCCAGGTTGATTTGATATTGTTCTCTTCAAGCGCCCGTTCAATACTGGATATTTTGGTCAGAATCTGAATCTGTCATACTGCCCCATGACAAAAAAGCACTTACATCCCCAGAAAACCTGTAAAGCTAGAAAAAACCACTGCCTTGGTCCTGTTAATTCCTCTAACTCCTTCCAAAAACACCTTCAGATTGTCGCCTTGATGGACAACTTTTGCCAAATCCTGCCATTGCCATTCTGGTTGAAATTCAATCTCCGATCGCGCAAATAAAGGATGATTACAAAATTGACGAAGCATTGTCAACTGTCTGAAAAAATCAGAAGAATCCCATCTTTCCCCCGCAGTTTGTAGCCTTTCAAAAAGATCGATGAAAGTTGTGTGCAGCATTTGTGAAACCTCCTCCCATTGTGGGCTGATGTTGACAACTATAATCTTCTCAACTTTTTCTGGGAGTTGGAGAAGAACCTCCTTGGTTCTTCTCAAGCAAATGGCTTGCATTAGTCTATTTACAGTCTTGATTGCTTGTCGAGCTCCAACGTTCATTTGAGGAATTAGGCAGCATTTCCACACCCATTCTTCATTCCAAGGATGGATATTCAAGAGTGTTATCAAGATTTGCAAGTTGGTCAATCGGTTTTGGACTGGTGTTCCTGTTAAGCAAAGCACGAACTGCGTGTGAAGGTTCTGAATGCTCTGTGTCCGATTTGTTATTGGATTCCTTATTAAACTAAAATCCTCAATGTCAGTCGGCAGTATTTGGAATGCTTCCATGCGTGATTTCACTCACTGTGCCTTGTCCAAGACAACTATGAACCAAAAAAGGTCGAGAGATTCAATTGTGAGTTGGTGGTGATGTCTCTTGTTCCCACTTGTTGTAATCATTTTGTACGTCGTCAAGATCATCATGCTAGACTGCAGGTCTTCTTTAGTCATTTTCTTTCGATTATCCCCATGGAACACCTTGTAAGTAATTGCATGATTGTTGAAATGAAGGCTGATTTTGTTTTGCCAGTTTGATAGCGTTGCGAGAGGGAAGATTACTAAGGTAGCCGAAGATTGGTTTTTGGGATCAGCCTTTTGAAAGCGTCTTCCTTCTTCACATGTAGCCAATATAAAAGCTAGTGTTGTTAACGTCTTCCCTAATCCCATATCATCAGCAAGTATTGAACCTTGCAACCTGTCATCTTTGGGTGGTTCTGTCTTGCTGGACACAGACTCTTCGTCAAAGTAGTGACGAAGCCAGGCGTTGTTGTTGTGGTACCACAAGTCCTTGGAATTGTTGTTGGGATGCTCGTTCCTCAGTAGAAAGCTGAGGGCAGATAGTTGATGGGATTTCAGATTTGTTCTGCATTGTCAAAGTGATGCAGAAAGTGTTGGGGGTGGTCCGGCAAACGGACTGTTGGGGGAGATTTGAGAGGTGAAGTGCGGAATTTTAAAGAAAACATCTGGGTTGTAGTTCCAAATTGGAGTGAGCTTGACCTCCGAAGCTTGAAAAGCTGACTGCACTTCAGGTATCTTTTTGGATCGGCTGAACACACAGCCCCGTAGCTGAGGTGTTATGCAATTCTTTGTTACAAGAAATGCACGCAACTTGACTAGAGCCACTTCATTGGGGGGGGATTTCCAAACAAGTTACTGGAGTTGAACAGCTTGAGACGGGCCCTAAAAGTGGACCCAAGTATTGGCTCTGTTTTTCACTCAGATCACCAAATTGTGTGCGTGTTTCACAATATATGTGGACTAGTTTGTGCCCTTGTTGTAGGAACACAAGCTGAGGTAAATCATAAGTGAGGTTTACAGGACTGGGGATGCTTACTGGGATGATGAATTGACCAAGACAAAAGGTTGAAGACATGCCTGAAGAGTGATTGAGATGGTATTCTGAGGTGGGGAGAATGTAAGGATGATAATCGGGCGGGCTTGGGCCACCCACGGGCCGGCCCAAAGCGGGCCAGAACATTGCCGGGCGGGTCGGGCCGGGCTGCAATCAAGAAATCTACTGCCCGACCCAAACCCGTTTACAAATCGGGCTCGATATAGAGACGGGCTTCCGGGCTGCCCGCGGGCTTGGTCACTGGGAAGTTGAGATCCCGGCGCTAGCACTTGCGGCGGCGGGGTCGCAGACGGAGTAGGAGCTGGGGTCGGTTCGGACCTTGGGATAAGCTCAGCTCTGAGGGGTCCTGGCGCTTGGTCAGGTCCACTTGGACCTGACCGAGCACCAGGAGTCAGGACCCCCCACTACTGCACCGGCCCGACGGGCAGCCTGAGTAGACCCGACCTTTAATTGGGTCATCTCGGGCCGGGCCTAAGTAAAAAATTCTATAAAAAGCTTGGCCCAAACCCGGTTGGGTTCGGGCGGCCCGTTGGACACCCGGCCCAATTACCATCCTTAGGAGAATGACAGGTCATGTGTCCAGGTTCCAGCAAGGCAGGAACAGGAATATGATTGATATTTTCATATCAACCAATCCATCCTTCTACTTGTTTGGCTATTTTATTTGGGCCCCTAATTTTTCCATAATGTTTGAGGCTGTGTGGCTGATCTGTGATGGCACAGCTGGATATGCAAGAGATATAGTTCCAAGTTTAAAGGGTTCACTATCGTTACCCCTGAGAAGACTCCATCACCCCTCATTCAGCGGGCATATTGGTGGACACTCACACACAAGCATATTCTTTCTTGGAGCTTGTACATAGGCAATGTTTACAATCTACATATGGGCATGTCCCACACCAGGTTGTGATTGATCTGACATCCAGAAATTCAGAACCTTAAATTGAGGGTAAAAAGAGGGGTATTTCACATAAATAAAACTGCCAGCTACCCTACCTTTTATTCCCATTGGAGATAAACAGGTTTGTAATTCTGTCCCAATATAAGCAGTTCCTTTACAGGTGTTATACTGGTAACTGTGTCGAAAATGAGCCATCCTCAATGTAAAAACATGCTTTCGATGTTTACAGAAGCTGTAAGGAGCAATATCAAAATTTGTATAAGATTAAGACGGACTTGAACAAGACTTCAGCATGAATTTAACTAGCATAAGTAATATTTAACTCTAAATAGTTACATATCATTTCACAAACATGTCTTTCTACAGTTCTTGTTCAATAATAGAATAGTTCAACAAAACATTGTGATAACATCCAATGCACTTCAGACAAAAACAATTGCAGAATTCAGATATGGCAGTCCCTGGGGAGTGCCCCCAAAGCTCCCCTGGTGTGATGTGTTGAATTCTGACTTGAGATTGTGCTAGGTGGTCGTTGAAATTGATGTTGCGACATTTGAGTAAATTTTTGCCTTTGAATGCAGGGACAACATAACAATTGATGGTGTAGGCTGAGTCTGCCAGTAAGAATTGCTTTTGGTCAAAGTACTTTTCAGGTTCCTGGGCCACTTGCATGTGCAAAAATACATAAGCATCATGAGATGAGCCAGGAAATCCAGCCAAATAAGAAATGAACTTTTTGTTGATATCACAGATGACCGTTACTGAAATGGAGTATCTGATCCAAGCAGCCAAGAGCAAAACAATCTCAATCAACAAGGGAGATTTTTTATATAATTCAGCAGTATCAAAAAGCTAACCTCTTCTTACGATCAAAGTAATGTTGCCCATCCTTGGGGGGCTTCTGGCTCAAAGAGATGGCTGTTCCATCTACAAATCCCACACAGCCAGGAAATCCTTCCTCTTGCATGACCTGAGACAATTCTATTTGTTCAGATTTGGTAGACCAAGTGACTAAAGAAGATTGTAATCCATAAACAGCATGAATAACTTGTCAGCCTGATACTATTCAGAGACAACCTGACCATACCATACTAAATATTTAGAGACATTATTACACATACTACCCCCATAGCATATGTAATTAATGTCTATTTTATATGTACATAAGATAGAGACATTATTACATATGTACATATAAAAACATCAATATTTAAATAAGTGGAATCACTATAATAGAGAAATTATTACTCATTACATTAAGTTTTACTAGTCATGAAAGAAAACATAAAAATAAACCAAAAACATATATAAATAAACATTTTTAACATGAATCTACAAATAACTTCTGAACCTTAAGCAAAAGTTAGAATATTATTTCAGATTCTTAATTTTCATGCAAAATAACCTAGGGTACCTTTCCAAAGGTACCCCTTAATTATTACTTCTTCGTGTACTTCCTATAAAAACAGACGAAGGGAGTCAGGATGATTCATCAGATTCAATTGGAGACCTTTCTGCGCATATATTCACCCAAGAGGATAATTCAGAAGAAGATAAAAAAATCCACCAATAGTAAGAGTATTGTTGTTTGTCTCTTTTTTTTCATCTTGGAACCTAACAATTAAAGCCAGAGGGCTAACAGGACTCTAAGGCTGTTGAAGGGCTACGGCTGCGGAAGGCTAAAAAGCAATATGCAATGCAATGAACATTAAAAATGAACTATGAAAGTGCTAAGAAACGTATAGACAAGACAAAAGGATAAATAGATGACTGGAGAACAACAGAAAGGGAGAAAGCTCAAGGGTTTATATACCCGAGATGATGAGTGAAACACAAAGGGTGATAAGTGGAGAGGCGCATACAACAATAGACCAAGGCAGTCTGGTCTAGATGGAACCAGGGGCTGAGTATCAGCTCAAGTCAGGAAAGGGAAATAGTAGGTGTAAGGGCCCAAGGTATGTTGCTGTGGCCCTAAGTAGGTGGTGTTGTTGTGGCGCCAGCTACACAATGAAGTGTATCAGTTACACCTCTCTCTTCCTCTACAGTCTGGCAGATAAATCCAACTATTCCCAGTTGATCCACTCAAACCAAAACCAGAATAGATCAATGCATCAAAAGCAGATGAACCTGTAGAAACTGCTTCCAATGTGGCACTCAGCTGGAGTACATACAACACTAGGGGGTATCAAATATAATCAAATCCACCATTATTTAATTAGGGGACTTCACCAAAGCTTTAAGCAAGATCTTGTTAAGTGTTGCTTGTCACAGAAATTTTATTTGTGAAAGAGTAGCTACATGAACTGGAAATGAATAACAAACATATTTAAAAAAGGGTGGATTTTTTCAAACCAGTCAATTATATAATGGTGGATTTGGTTATATTTGATACCCCTTATTGACTGGTTTGGAAAAATCTACCATTATATAATTGACTGGGTTGGAAAAATCGACCATTTTTTAAACATGTTGGTTCTTCATTTACACACTTTGGAGGCCCATTTATGCAAAAAGATTTTTTGGGAAAAGTGACTGGTTTCTAATGGTGGATTTCCTTATATATTTGATACACTCTATTGATGTTGTGAGTAATTCATGTTCATGTTCACTTTCAGGGCCAAAATATGGCCAAGCCCCAGGATTGATCCGTTTTGGCCATACCATGTCAGTGATGAGGTGCAGGCTTGGAAAGATTGGATTCAACCCAACATTGACCTGGGTCAAGAAATCTTTTACCCAGTCAGAAGATCTTCTAGGCTTAAAAAAGGTCCTGCTGATGTTGATTAATTTTTTCCCTTATAACTTTGCTCCTTATCTTCCTCTTATTTTTTACTTTCTGCTTCAAAATCCACACTCTTTGATAATTCACACACTTTCATATCCGCACTTTTTGATAATTCACAGTCTTTCATAGACCATAATATCCACATTTTATAAATGCACGCTCTTAATTTTTGACCATTTGAATTATAGAATTTTGTGCCTTTTTCATGCAGAAATCCAAGTTCATAAAGCTTAATTACCACTGGGAACTTTCTATTGAGGCTACAGCAGAAAATGTAGGTGTAATTCCTCAGAAGTGAGTGGTCTCCCTCTGTACTGGACTAGGTAAGCTTGCTGGGCCACTTCAGACCAATCCAAATCACACCAGAGCTACACCAATTATTCTTCAACATTTTCACAAGGTTGACTTCAAATCCATCAATATCAATCTGCTCATTAACTTCTAAGTGCCCCTTCACCACACTTTCCTTGATTCACTATGTACACCTCCAGGTATGACCCGACCACACCACACCTGCAACCAAGGAGCTTGGCAACCAAGCCTGCCCTTCGGCCAGTCCCTACACAAGACTTGACCACATCAGCAAGCCATCAACACCATCCAAGCCCAGTACGGCTACTACTACAGCTACTCATACTGACTCAATCAATTCAGATTGTCTATGAGGCCATTGGCGGGCTTCAGTCTTCAGTAACCAACTCAACAGGTGTCATTAAACCAAACTGACACTTGACCACTCAATGAGTGGCCTGCTTGCCGTTGCAGAGACCCAACTTGTTTAGAAGCTCAGTTCTGGGTATTTCTTTTGTTGGCTTGATGAACAAACAGTTTGTTCATCGAGCCAATGACCAAGGAGCTTGTGCATTTACAGCCACGACCAAGCACGATCCGGTATTTTCTTAATAGTGCTAAGATATGGACGGCCGGGCCCTAGTCAAGGTCCTCTCCAACACCTGCCCCAGTGGATCACCCTCTGGCTTTCCATCATCATCTGGTGCATCCATCCTCCTGTTCTATTGGCACACTATGACTCTTTTATTTCCTATCCTTAAGGCTAAACTCCTCCGGTGGAAACTTGGCTCTTCTACCCCTGCCTTTGTCTTCAGCTTGCACATCTTGGATAAAAGCCCCTTCCAGGCTTTGATTGAATAACCACAATGGCCGAGCCAGCAACGAACAATACAAGCAATCATCAGCAGGCTCCCAAGGCACCCGAGTCAGGCCTTTGATCTTGGCCATAGTGTTCTCATCTCGGCTGTAAGTGAGCTACTATATATGCAAGAGGAGCTTTGTAGAGTCATTGAGGTCTTGAACAGGATCCTCAAATTGCTGATCAATTGTTTTTCCATCTCATCAGCAGAGCAAGATCCAGATTGACTCTATCAGCTGTTATTTCTCTGTGACCCAGGACGTTCAACTTGCCCAATCAGCTATCCCGCCTCCTTGTCCTCAAATTAACCAGACACGTAATCAGTCACATCAATTGGAATCACAAACTTGATTCATTCACTGAGATGTTTTCAGACCCACTCCAATTGCTAGCCAAACTTTCCCAAGCCCTTGGCACCAATTTCTCTCATCTGGTCTGGCTTCTGCTCATTGCCAATTGGAATAACCCGTGCCCCGCGTTTAGCAGACACAACTTGGCTCATTTGTCCTAGGAGAATCAAGCAGTGGCCAACACTGCAATGCTTCCTATTCTCATATCTTCTTCCTTCTAAAATCCCTGGCAGTTTGACTATTGCCACTCATCATCATTCTTGCCTGTGTTGATTCAAGTCATCCTCAATCTTTTAGAGTCTGTATAAGATTGACTACCTGCTCATCTCTATCTCTATGCCCTTTAGATGAGCCACAAGGACTCTTGCATGGATGGATAAGGCCTTCATTTGCTCAGCAGGAATCACCCCTTCTTTTGATCATTGAGAAACTGGCTAAGTGAATCAATTGCGGAGGGTGAGTGATTGTAATCAATTTGTCTGCTTATTTACAATTACGTCAGGTTTGATTTGATGGTTGGACCAACAACTGCTCAACCTGTAGCTATGACAGCTGATAGTCTGGAATGGCCCTAGATCACTGTCTTGGTGAGGATGAGTCTGTTAGCCAAGGTATATGCAATTGAAGTCAAAATGCAACATCTGATTGCCTATGATGAGGACTCATTTGATCTGAGTAATGTGACTTGGCCAGACTCTTCGCCCATCAACCTCCAAAATCTTCCTCTTGAAAGAGTTTTATACCCTCCCCCCCTTTGAAAAATTGTCCATAACTTTGATAATATCATGAATCCTGACCAATGGTGTATTCCTTCTTGCTTAACAGTAAAACATAACTGGATTGGAAGCTTCTAATCAGCATAATTTTTCCTCATGTGATTGCTGGGATTGCATGGCTGCTGTGTGATGCCTGCTGAGCTTTGTGCTCAGCAGGCATCACATTGTGGGATTGATGGGGCCTTGGCACAAAGAATTGGCCCCATTAATTCCTGGCCAGACAATGCCTCAACATATGGTGGGCTAACCCATATTTGTTTTGAGTTAAGATGGATGGACCTGAGGTATTCAGTGAAGCTGTGTCAGCCTGAGTGATGCCAAGAGCTGGTCTGTTCTAGCTACACCAGGTTCAAACTAAGGAAAATGTATGTAAATGTGTGGGTAGCACTTGGAATGGGGAGATTTTAATATTAGGCAAAGAGATAATAAAAAACTGTTAAGTTTTTATAAATGGAGAGGCCTGGGTTACAGGGATTTTTATGGTGCCCTCCAATGAATTAGGACCTGTTAAAACAGGGGTATTTTTGATGTACCTGATGATCTGGTCCTTTGTAATAAAGGAATATACCCAGACAATGCCTACAACTGAAGTATCAAGGAAATTTTACCTACTTAGTACTATTCCCAAGCCAAGGGGACTTCAGGTGGGTGAAAACTGGTCTGGAAGCGCTCAAAAAACTAGGTAACAGGTGATGAGACAGTTCTGGGGAACAGTTGATGGTTGGTTGGTTGAAATTGATCAGGATGAAAAACAGCAGGAACTGGGCCAAAAACAGGTGAAAACTGGTTGTTGGAGGTGGTTATGAAGATGGGGAATTAGAGTTTGGGGGCAAGAAGGGCTCTTTATAAAATCATTCTGGGCCCTTGGAGGCAAACTCAGAACTCTATCTTGCAGGTGCAAGCCTCCTACTAGGCATTGGTGGTGACCTGTAGCACTGCCTAGGCACCTGTAGTCCTTGGTTACAGGTGTCAGAGGGCTGAATTGAGGCTTGTAATACAAACTAAGGGGTGCTGTGACAAACCTGCAACCATAGTTTGGTCACTGGGACCCTTTAATGACCAGTGGGCTGGTCCTGACAAGGCATAGGCAGCCAAATTGGGCCAAAAAGGGCCACAAATGGCTTTTACCAAGCCAGTTACAGCTGTTGTGACTATGTAGTTAAGGTTTCAATTATTTATACCTTATTTGGTAGATTTTCCGCCAGCTGCATGAACCTTATTTACATATGTAGACCTGTCACAACATGTAGTATGGTGTAACTGGGAGGCTTTCTAGCAAAATGAACAGATGTCACTCAGAGTGCACAGAAGTACTTGAAGGAGTGATAATTCAGGTTTGGTGAGGTACCCTAGGTTATTTTGCATGTAAATTAAGAATCTGAAGTAATATTCTTCCTTTTGCTTAAGGTTCAGAAGTTATCTTGTCTCTATCTTATGTACATATAAAATAGACATCAATTATATATGCTATGGGGGTAGTATGTGCAATAATGTCTCTAAATATTTAAGATGCTATGGTCAGGTTGTCTCTGAATAGTAGCAGGGTGACAAGCTGGCCTCAAGAGAGGATCAGATTATGACAGTGACCACAGCTTGAACTCCCAGGCCATCAACTTCTTAAATTCTCAGCACCAGCAGTCATACCAGCTGGTGGTTGACTTTGATCTTCACGCACTCTTCTTAATGCAAGAGTTCCAAGCAGAAGATACCATTCAACAAATCATTACTATGATCAGCATGGCATTCACCCAAGAATACCCTCCAACAGCAGTTGGTCAATGCAGCAAAATTAGTCAACCAAAGAAGCCAAAACTACAAACAACATCTACAACCCCACAAGCCGAAGCCATTTGGCCTCAGGTTCCCAATGTACAATCATGTTCTTAAGCATTTTATTGAGTTGCAGGATAAATGTGAGGTATTACCAAATAATAAAATGATTATTCTGATTGATGAAGGGGGTTTATGTGCTGGATTTGTACTTCCTCCAAAGCACCTATAGCATCAAGAAAATCATCCTACAAGGGCACAGGAACCAGAGGAAATCTGATCCTAAAACCAATCTTCCAGAACCACTTTGATCCAACCCTGGTCCTGGTGGAACTTTGACATGACATAGTCTTCTACCGTGGGATATCTTACTGGATCAATAAGGTCTTCTTACCAGATGCATCTTCCATCGCAGAAAGCACAGTGAAGTACTTGGAAAAGAAGGCATCAACCGCAGTGAAAGAGTCTATTCAGGTAAAAAAAAAAATCATTGCAGGTAAGTATAAGAAGAATAACTATTTGACCTGAATATAATTCTCACTTTGAACTGACCATCCATCAAAAAGCACAGACCATCACAGTCAATACCTATCCAAACACACATAGAGACCAAAACAATGCCCTGTTGATTGATAGTGTATTCTTCTTTGGAAATCATCTTGGTGGACAATTCCTTCTCCCTTGGCTTGGTGTTGCGTATCCAGGATTGCACGGTTATTCCTTCCATGGTCCATTTTGCATTCTTTTCCATGGTATATCCCAGTTTCACTTCACAGAAGACAAGAAAATATTCAGTTGCCATGTGGAACTGAGCTTCCTAATTTTCTGCAATTGCTAGATATTCTGCATATGACAATGGAAATGAGGTTTGATCAATGTAGATATTTAACCATGTATGTACTCAACTGATAATATTTTATCTTGGATCAACAGAAGTTTAGCAATGAAAAATATTGGCTTCCACTTTATCCTGCATACAACCCTAAAATTACTTCAGATATTCTCAAAGCTGAAGTGAAATTTGCCAAGAAAGAAGCCAAGAACAAATTCAAAAAGAGATGAAAAATCGAAAACCAGCTTTTTTTATTGGTGTCTATATATTTCTGTTCATCTTATCTCTGTGTGCCAATTTGTTGGATTTTTCTTAAGAACAAAACAACTCATCGATTGGAAGAAATAAGCCATATTATTTAAGAGACTGCCATTAAAGGATTTGTAGTGACAATTCTTTGGAAATAGGTCTGAATTCTTTTTGAAAGAAATCAAATGATAATGTGAAATGAATGAACCTATTTAAGACTGCCCTCAAAGAATTTTCTTTTAATAAGTTCTCAACAAGCTTAAAAGTTATAAAAAGCTGTGAAAAAAATATAATAAGACTAGGTTCATTCAGAGGTGTTGGAAACAAGCGTAAAAACATCATTCTTAATATTGTCAAGTCACTTTTCCCATACATCATTACACAAATATTCTACCCCAATAGCCAACTCATCAACCTTCAGACTCAAATTCTCCAACTGGACAATCTTAACACTAGGATGTTCCTCTTCCAGCAGATTCACCCGATCCTTTTGTTTGGGGAAAAATGGACCCTTTTTCTTGGGGGAAGGATTGTATTCAACTCCAAGTGCAAGACCTAAGTAATGGAATTTATTAACCATAATCAATCAAATCAACTCATACCGTATAGATGACAGTACCCATATAGTTATCTATTGAGCTCCTGACACAACTGGGTTCTTACAGTATTGGCATGTTTTGGTTGTTTGGCAGGTCTGTTGGTCTCAGCTGAAGATTCTTGAAGTACTTGTTGAATATCTCTTCCATGACTGTATGCTTCAAAGTTTTCCTTGGCAAACCACTTTTTCTTTGCAATTTGCAGCCAGGAGGGATCTTTTGACAACTCTTCACAGAAGCTTCCATTCCCAGGGAGCCTTGTAGCTGACAACAAGTAAAATGTCAAGTTGTACAGGTTGGAAGGTGTGAAAAGCTGAAAAGAAATCATTATTTTCAGATGTAAAATCAAGATTAATACCAAACAGACTGTGCTTATTTACCTCAGAATTGATACGGATAACATGCTTCAGGGCTCTTTGTGAAGTCACCGGAGTATTATCAGGAGCTTGAGAATTACCTGCCAAGAACTCAATTTTTTCATGATTAAACAATCTTTGATAAAGAGGTCGATAGAGGGCCTCTTCATCAGGAGTAAGAGATTCTTCTTTTCTTCTTCTTCCTTTGTATCATGGTTGTCTAGGGAAGTTGGAAGTTTTGAAAAGAAACAAAATATCTTTGTGTTGAAAATATTTTTTTTTTTGTCGGAGAGGGCAGCCCATGCCAGTCCAAGGTGGACATTTCTTTCTTCCCATCCCAACAAACAACCTTTTGGAGGAACCAGAAATCCAGAATCAGAAAGATATTGGTCCGTGAAAACATTCAAAATGTGATTATGTATTAGTAATCTCACCTGGTTTAATTGAGCTTTCCAAGCTGAAAGCTACATACCAATTCCAATTGCTCTTTCTTCTTGGTGGTTGATCTTCTCCCCCGAGTAAATTCAATCTGGTTGTCAGCTTTCTTGATAAGTTGAAAATAAAGATAAAACTTACAACCAAGAGTTTACAGTCTTTTCAGAAACATTTCCAATCATTGCCAGGAGGGGGTATCAAATATAACAAAATCCACAACTTTTTAATAGGGGGTATCAAATATAGCAAATCCACCTTTGCAAACCCGTCACTTATTTTTTTGAAATCCACAATTATTAATTGACGGGTTTCCCAAATCCACCTCCATCAACCCAAATGGGTTTTGAACAAAAAAACACACATCTTTTCACCCAAACCATTCAATCAAAATATCCCATTTGTTTCAACTCATATCACCGCCAAATTTCACTCGCACCACCAAACTTCACCTCATCAGCACCAGTCATCTCACCACCAGACTGATCATCTGACCACCAAACTTCTCATCATCAGCACCGATCATCCCACCACCATACCATTCATCATCAACACCAAGATTGGCTCCACTTGTCCTCAAGAGCAATCATGCCCAAAGTATCTCGAAGCAACCAATGTTGCTGCAATGGCCATGATGGACGATTCAGATTCAGATTACAACTCAGAACTTGACGCTTTTTACTTTTTCTCTATGAGTCAGCTTCAAAAACGATACCTAGCAGCTCAAAACTCAACAAGTTGATTTGATCCTTGTTATGACTTGTCTGAGCTTCAAGGTCTTCCAGAGTTAATCTTTGTGCAGATGTTGTGCATGACATTCCCTTGCTTCCACAACCTGGTACAGCTCATCAAACCAAACACCATCTTCTACAACAACTCTTTTAATCCCCAAAGGGATCCACCAATCCAAATTGCTGTCGCAGTACACCACCAGTGCAGTTGGACGTCCCAGGGGCAGGGTCCAGGGGGATGGCCCCAGGACAGCAGCCCCCACATACCAGAACATCCCAGGGGCATGCTCCTCCACAAATAAAAGGCCATCTCTGGGATGTCCTTGTGGAGCATCCCCGTGACGGCCCCCCAATTCATCCCACTTCCATCCTGGAGGTGTTCCAGGGCTGTCTCCTCAAACAATTTCCCACTGCAGGATTTTGGAATGTGGCGTCTCTGAGCCGTTACCCAGACGGCATTGTGTCATTTTTTTGGCAAAAAAAAATGTCTTATGCACATCCACCAGCTAGCCCAAGGATACTCATTGCACAATAATCACACAGTGAAAGAAATAGTGAAATGATACATGTTGTGAATAACACACTGAAACATATGATTGTTCATTTACAACAACAACAAAAAACATACAAAAATCTGATTGGGAAATGCACCCGTACAAACCAGCCTGAAAAAGAAACAAGCACTATTTACATGAGAAAAGAAAAAGGTAAACAACCCAAGTGGGTTCTTCAGACATCCTTGCCAGGATCTCCTACAGCTTTGATGTTCACAGCAGAATTGCTTGCAACAAGAGCCTCTATTTCCTCGTGTGTCGAAAGAGAAATGGAATCACAATCTATGTTGGAAAAGACCTCCTCGTCACCAAAAAGTTCGCAATCGTATCTGGTCACCAACTGGTAAAGACTGTTTCAAGCAAATAGTGAAAGCACCATTGCATCAATATTGTGATTAATGGTCAAGTGAAAAATTCTACGCACGCTGATCGGTATTCACGACTCTTATAAGCCAAGTCACGCAAGTGTTCATCAATGTTTTTCCATTGTCGATTGGATTCCCCCCCTTGGTGTATGTAGTTTATTATTGTTTGGAGTTGCAGATAAGCCAACCGCGCCTTCAGAAGACCATATTCCCTCCGCCCTTTGTCCGTGGTGTCTGTTGCTGGTGCATTGTTGGGGAGCGGTGGGATCAAACTAGACCTCATCTGTAGAAGCACAGATGTAAAAATGTAGAGCTGGTGAGGCACCACTCTTCATGAAGAGGGGGGAGCTGTTGCTTACCAAAGTCAAGAGGGATGATATTGTTGGAACCGGGAGCTCAGATTTCATATCAATGTTTGTGAGTAGCTGAGCAAAGTTGGTGGTTAGTTCACACACAATCCAAAGATTACAGAATTTGAGCTCACCAAGTCTTTCATTTTGCCTCGGCTGTTCCTGAGTTTACCTTGTACTTAGGTAGTAGCACTGCCTTGTGCAGCGGGATCTGGATCAGAATAACCACGTCGCAGGTAACGGATCTTGAACTCGTCACTCTGTTCATTAATCTTCTCCTGAATTGGGCAATAATCCATACTAGTGAGTTTCACAAAGAAAAGGCAACACATGAGATAGGCCCACCAGTACTAAAGTGAGGAGGCCTCTTGCCTTCCTGGGAGCCCCCTGAGGTGCCTCAGAACTGTAGACGCCCAAATTTTGGCTCATCAAGAGCTCTCGGGCTTGTTGGGTGACATAGTCCTAGATTATTTGGTTCAGCAAGGAGGCAGAGCAAGTTCAGCTGGGGTATGTCAGACTTACGCTAAATACTGCCACATAGTGGAAGTTTTGAGCCTGGAACGCCATGGAAACTTCCGCTGACGCTGCCCCTGGACCACGAGGAGCATGGAGCATATTGTGATGGAGCCTTTCAATCGCTTGCCTGACCAATAAGAGGCCATAAATACCAATGACATATTGCCTTGGCAATGGTACCTGGTCATTTTGTTTTATTTTAATTTATTTTTAGGGTTTTTTTTGGGGAGAAGAAATAAGATTCTATGGTGTCTGAAGGATGATCATGTACAGTACATACATAGGCCAGTTGTTCACCAAGGTCAGCATATGACCCACCCAACTGAAATATGGCATTGACCTCTGAGACAAACTTGTGGTTGATAGGCTCGTCATCAACAGTCAGATGCACTGTAGCTGGGGCCATGCTCCCTGGGGGTCTGCCTCATTGCCAGTTGGTTGGATGGCTGTTGCTTGTCGAGTGCTCAAGGCGGTGGCCCGTGCTCTGCTTGGAACCCCAGGGAGATTGGCTAGAAAAGGATCACTGACACCTGTCAGTATCAGGTACAAGGATCATGTAGGTAGCAAACATTCTCACCAGGTCTAGGTCGCGAGGCCCCACGGCCCGGCGGGGCAGCTGCTCTGGTAGAAGCGCCCCTTTGTGTATGAGCTGGTAGTTGGCCACCAGCCCCATGGGTTTGGCGGACCGTCGGCCTGACGGGACCCGTCTGAGGTTTGCGGTTGGTTGACTGTGTTGTCAAACGAGTGCAGGGGCCAGGGGTGTCCGGTGCGGGTGAGGGAGATTGGTCGCTTGTCCCATGGGAACGGGGGACCGTCGGCCTGTTTGCTCCAGTCTGAGATTCTTGATTGGATGACTGAGTCGTCGCACGTGTGCGGGGGCCAGGCGAGTAGGATTGCTTGCTGCCTCAACACTCGCTTGCGGAGTCTGAGGAAATAACAACGGGCATGGTGAAAAAGGAATTGGACCATTGTCCAAGTGTGTTGGAGTCTTTGATCTTTGTTTCAAGTTTCTGTCGATATGCCGTCCGGATGGGAAGACAGACTTTCAGAGCTATTTGAACCAAATGCGAGCGAGGTGTATCATAAAATCAAAAAAGGCTCTACCTATAAGCTATAGCCTAGAGAAAAGTTACATCAAAACGTACCCAATGCAAATGAAAAAGGTTATCAATAACGGACCCAGTCAGGAAGCTGTGCGGATTGCCAGGCTCAACAGCAATCACGTAGTATTGGTCAAAGTAGCGCAGCTATTGTCCGTCGCGAGGTGCTATCTGAAGAAATTGTAAACACAAAAAAAAAGGTTTAAAAGGATTTAGAAAGGAAGCGTGAGGGCCAGAAGAATAATATTGTTGATAATGAACGTTCTTCTACCCAAAAGCTACAGGGAACATCAAAAGGATATGAAAACATACCCGAGTCAGGAAGCTGTCTGGATTGCCAGGCTGAACAGCAAACACAGATCAGTTGTGGTAGCTCAGCTATTGTGCGTCGCGAGTAATCTGAGGAAAAAGTAAACACAAAAAAAAAGTCTTAGAAACGAACAATGACTTGTGGAAGTGATTGGATGGAGAGAATGATGGACAGAAGTGACTTTGACCTCTGTCCTTGCGTAAAGTTGTTAAGGTCGACTGGGCAACCTTTCCCAATTGGGTTGGTTGTTGCTGATCCTCCATTCTCCACCAGCAAGAGGCGAATGTTTGATCGAGGGGGCTCCCCATTGAAACCATGGGTGAAATTAAATCACCCATGGTCGAGCATCCTTGTTCCATCGGAGCTGAACAGGCAACAGGCCGTGCCCTTGTGTAAGGGGACAAATGTCCAGCCTGTTGCCCTTGATTCCTCTCTCATCCATGACAATCGCTTGCCCTCCTCTCTCGATTATTATCCGGTCATGTCAGAATGCGACCTCCAACTCAAGATCGGCGCTCATTGAATCCTACAGTCTGCTTAACCAGGACTTGAACAGTAAGTCAAACCTCGCTTCAAAGACTGGCCCAGTTGGCCCTGACCTGTGTGGCCATACCCAAAACTAACATCAAAACCTTTGATACAGATACCGCCGGTCTCGTACCACATTTCTATCTTCACAATCTTCTTTTCTCTGACCAACCGTCCGCTTGACCAGGTCTTGAACCGTAAGTCAAACCTCAATTCAAGGATTCAGCCATTTGACCGTGAATTGTGGGGCGATACCAAAAACTAACATCATCCCCTTGATCCCAATGCCGCAAAAATCAAACTACAGGACGTGTTTATCCTTGGTTCATCAATTGGTCTTGCTACGACCTTGTCGCGGACTTCTATCTACCCAATCATCCTTTCTCTTTGTGTTCTAAACCAAAAGATTTCTTCATTGCTGGACTTTTGCTGTGCTCATTTCCTCTACTTCCTTAACAAAAGAAATCTCTTTTCTTTAACTGTCTGCTTTTAGGGCCCTATAGCTAAGGTAACTGTGCCACCTATGTCTTGTCCTTTATGCCTTAACCTACCATGATGACTAGATAGTTAAAAATGAAATCAACCTTTTTTTCTCATTTGAACAAGTCAGTGATTCAGCACTGGTCCACTGGCAACATCACAATTCAATTTCATCCAGTTAGTGATTCTGCGTGTATCCTGTGGGCAATACAGTAATTACACAGTACAGATAAGATCCACAATGCCCCAGGGTAAAGCCTCCCAACCAGATGTTGAGCTAAACCCAGGTGAGCACAATTTCTTTGCAAACATCCCACACACCAACATTCATATGAATATTCATTAATTTTTTTCTTCAGCTGTATGGAATAAGGTATCAGACAAGCCGCACGGTGGAACATGGTCGTGTTTGCTCTGTGGGTCCAGGAAGATGGTATTCAGTTCCATTCGAAGACACATCAATTACCCAAAACATCAAGAATTAGAAAAAAAAATCTTGGAAAGCAGAGTTCCTCACATTGAGGATACGATTAATCATCCAGAGTCCCGTCTGAGCCCACATGAGAACGAAAATTCAGCTGGTCTTGAGGTTGACGATCCTGCGCTGGACGTGTCAAATTATCAAACCACTCAATCATGGACCGCGTGTGAGGATCTGGCCACCAATGGCTAAGAGGATCATGAATTTCTGGATGCAGAGGGATCGATTACAGAGGACAACCAACACATTCAGTGACAAAGAGCTGGACTCGTGTGCAAGTGACCTTGACACGTCATCTGATTTATCCAATTTGAACTCAAACGATGAGGCCGACGGCAAGGATTTTGAGCTATCAGCAGAAGACCTGGATTTAATGCGCAAGCTGGGCAGGGTTGGCGATGAAGACTTAGCAAGTACCACACCTCGACCACATGTGGATAGGAGTTGGTGGCCCTTCCGGACGAAAGAAGTGTGTTTACAGTTAATCCCCGTTCATGATGCTTGCTTATTTTATCTCTTCTGTCAGTACATGATTTCTTCACTAGTCATTGGATACACCCACGCAATACTCTCACAGAGCATCTACGACCACATCCACTCAATGTTTTCATTGGTACACGTCATCCTACCTGATTGGACAACAAACTGATGTGAGAAAAAAAAACACCAGGATTTGCAACCAGAATCCAACGGACAAAACCTGCAAATCTCTATACCTTGGCGTGTCAATTTCAACTCAGATATTGCTCACAAAATCAATATCTCTGAATTTTATTGTGCGTTTCCAAATATCGCTGGACCGTATGGACTCATACTATCTCAGCGATGTCAGGGTAGACTTTATGGTCAGTTGTTCTCCTTCTGCATATTTGTATGGCTATTCCACATTCACCTTGAAACTGATGTACCATTGCATCAATACATTAACAACAGAGTTGGGTGATCACATGACCGTGATACATTTACTGCCTAATCCATGGAGGAACCACGCAAAAGGAAGGATGATTCAACACATGCCCATTACCTTGTATTGTGATGACACCTCAGGAAATCAGTCCAAACGATGGAACAAACATGTCTCGTTTTATTTCACACTGTCTGGACTACCCCCAAGCTGGAGCAACCAACAATATAACTGTCATTATCTCACCACATCAAACATTGCAAATGCAATGGAGCTTGCTGGCCCAATCGTGGATGAAATGAAGTGCGGACAATCTCTGAAACATTTACACTTTTTTTATTTATTTTCCCATCAATTTGTTTGCCAATGTACATATGTAGCCAATTGTCAACACCTGGAACTGTTGCATGGGATTCTGGCATAATGGAAGAGGTCCTGGTGACATCAAAACAATGCATGCTGAGGCAACAAGTACCCCAATACCTGCCAATTCACTCCACCCATGCCGCACGTGTGATCTGTTGTCAGTCAGTGTCAAGGATAAGGCCACTATTGATTATGTCTGTTCGTTCACCATGCTTGATTCCTCCGGCCTTTGGGTGAGTGAATCATAAACTTTACCTTTTTTCATTGGCAGTTGAACTTGAGGTTTGTATTGTCCTAGATTCATAATCCCAAGCGATCGTGGGCCAAAATCATAGAGAATTGTTACCACATATGGCACAAGTCGGAGAAGCCTCGGACAAAACAGCTGTTGGGGAAGAGATTACAAAGTTAGGGGTGAGGGACGTCCTGAACACCTCCATCATTGATTGGAGATATGAAATATTGGCCAAAAAGGACGCGGCAACAGCAGAGGAGGTCCAATTTGTTCAGGGGCTCAAAAACTTGGACCAGGGAGGAAAGGAGGCTTTGTTCAGTCCTTTTTTCCTACTTAAAGGTTAGTGGCTCCCTTGTCAGTTGATTGCTTGCTAGTTTATTGGTTGACCTATGACAGCATATGTTTCTCCAAATAGGCTTTGATGGGTGTGCTGACACCCCAGTTGAGGTGCTCCATGTTTTCCTCCTTGGGATTGTCAAATACATGTTGCAATCATTCATGAAATCCCTCGCGACTGGGGTCCTCCCAGAAGTCATGGCCCGATACAAATCGTTTGACACCAAAGGATTGAATGTCCCATCATTGCGGCCTTACTACCTCACCAAACATTACAGGAACCTCATTGGAAAGGACTTCAAGGTAGCTCTTCAGGCAGCCCCCTTTGTTTTGTTTGAATACATGTTGGCGGACAAGCGCTTGGTATGGTCAGCTCTGTGTCAACTTGCTCCGTTTGTGTTCCAGACACACATTGCAGAAATGGATGCGTATCAAATCAGCCTACAACAACTTGTCCGTGTTTTCATCTATCACCTCATCAAGAGCACTGTGCAAATTATTCAGAATCAGGAACCAATATAGGAGGTCAGATGGATAGGTTGTCCAGGTCCCCACTTGGTCACATCCATCTCCCACAACATCAATGAAACCTCAAGTCAGGAAAAAAGCAAGAAAGTGCACAAGACATCACTCAAATACCTTTGTCTTGTCTAATTTGACCACCTTCTTTGGCCTTCCTTGTTTTTTCTTCTGCCCTTCAACTTATTCAAACTTATGGTTGAAGAGGTTGTTTTGTGTTTTTCTTTTGATCTTTTGGGTCATCCACGGAATTGATCATTTTTATCAAACTTGGGCTCCTGGATTGCAATGGTTGAATGGCTTCCTTTGGGCAGTTTTTTGAATTTGCCAAGCAAGGAATGTTGTTCACCAGGTTAAAGAGATTGAAACTTTTCAAATACTCCACTGAGAAATATGTCTACATAATTTTTTGTTGCTGCCTCCATCACATATTGGTTTCCAGTAAGTTCCACTGGTCACAAGACCAAAAGAAAGAACAAAATGTATGAGAAACCTTGTATAAATAATCTTCAGGGCAAAGTGGGAGATGGTGCTGTTGAGATTGACAATTGAGGGAGGTAGGCTAGCAAGTCTTTTTGAGGAATTTTGGGCTGATTTCATATATCTTTCATGAAGTTGAAAGGTGAGGGAGTGATGGATTTGTCTGACAACAGCAGAAAAAGAACCAGTTGTTAATGAAGCGTATGAGGTATATTTCAACTTGAGAGGTGATGTGGTTTCCAAGGTGGAAGTGCTGGTTGATGAAAGAGGCCACAGAACGCTCCTTCAGAGGAAGAAGAACATTATTCAAGTAGCTGGCTGTCAAAGGATTCCAAGTCTTAGAGAGCTTAGCATAATTCTCTTTGCATTTGGCCAGAGTTGGAGACTGCCACAATCAGCTCCATGTGGATTTGGAACATTTCCCATTTTTCTTCATTGTTGAAATGCTTGCAACGTTTTTTTTTCATTATTCTTGAAAATGTGCCAAGAGCAGAGGATAAGAGTGGTGTTGGGATAAACCTCCTTGATGGCATTGAGGATGGCTTGTTTGCGGTTGGTAGCAATAACAGAGGGAATCAATTATCCATTAAAAGAAGAAGATGCTCTACACACCCAGGGCACTTTAGAAAAATCAGTGCATCCCAGGGATGCCATTGCACCTGAGATGTCCCTGGGACGGGATGCCGTCCCCAGGACATCACAATTCACAAAAATTAGGGCGCCCCAGGGACACCATTGTACCTGAGATGTCCCTGGGCCAGGACAACATCCCCAGGACGTCACTGTGCCCACCCGGCACCCCTGTGACGTCCAACTTAAAAAATTCATTGCAGCCCAGGGACATCATTGCCCCTGAGCTGCCCCCCCGGCGTCTATCTCACATCCCACACTGACTCAACTGTCACTTAGCCATTCCCGGTGGGGGGCACGGCATCTGAGTCTCCCCATGAGATTACCATGTGTTCCAGAAGCCCAACCAGCTTCAACACTTGACAGGGGGACAACAGTCATTCCCATAAGGGCCCAAAAATTAGAACAGTCGAGCAAAGTATAACTGTTTGTACAACTTTAGCCACAAATGGAAGGGGAATACCAAAAGGGCTTCACCACAGGATTAATATTATAAAAATGATCATTTTTTTTGGTATACTACAATAATTAATGAAACAAGGGTAGAGATTTGCCGTCGTAATTCTCCATTTCTGAGCTTATAACTGGCCCTCGGCAAAGGTGACCTTTGATTCCATGAGAGTTTGGGGAAGATAAAACCTGGAATCTTTTGAACAATTTAATTTTCATGCTACATAAAGGCCCTAAATAAGTCACATCAGTATGAACAAGCCCTGGCCCCTCAGGTGGGCCACTCTGGGGCCCCAAAAGCAAGTGAGATACAACAAATAATTCAGAGCAGGGCTGGATCAACAACCACAGGGGGCTCTGGGGGTCCAGTTTTGGTACCTGCAAGATGCCATTGAGTCAATCCCTCATGCACCCCTCTGAGTTGTTTCCTACAGTCAACCGCCTCCACCGGTACCTCTGAACAGTTCCTGTGAGCATCCACTGAAGACAACGAGGCCAAATTCACAATGTAGTTGACGTTATCTGTGTGCGTCACTTCACCCACATAACGACCAATGGCTTCCCGCTCCAACTTCTTTTTCTTGGTCAAGTCAATGGAGCATCGGCCCTTGTGGCAATCATGCTGAACATTCAGTGTAGAAACCACGTCCTATGGAGGTATCAATAACAAAAGGTTAAGGTCTGTCCCCCTAGTGATCCAGATCCAGACAGAGCAGTCAACATACCTGAATTCCTACAATCCGCCCCTGACCACCCCTCCTCGTCTCCCTCATGTTATAGAAATTACTGATGCCACCAAACTCGAATGGGGTGAGACATACTACAAATTTGGCCCTCCTTTCCTTCCGCGCTTCCCACATATGATCAATTTGCCCCAACTCCAACAGGGCGCCCTGGTTGGATTTGAACTATGCAAAAGGTGCCTCTCAAAAGTTAGATTTACCAGTCTATAGCACTGAAAAAAACCCAAGCTATCACTCACAAGAACAAAAGAACCAACACGCAGTAGATCCTTCCTCGTGATGTGGATGCCAGGCAATTGCTTGAATGTATGACCGGGAAGTTGAGTGGTCAGGTCAGAAGGAATGGTCACGTGTTTGGCCTTACGAATTCTGCGCCCCCCCCACAGTTGGTTTGAATGGAATTGGATTGTCCAGATTTTCGGCGTTGTAACCCATTGACTTTTGAACTGAAGGACTGTTTGAAAACAGTTCGAGGACCTTGGCAGATGCAGTTTGGTATGCGTGGGCAATGCAGTCGTAGAAGTACCCCCCAGAGACCAGGTGACGTAGATTTCGGAAGTTTGCAAATGAGATACCAATATCCTTCCCAGGGCTCTGACGATTGGAATGAATTGAGGATTTCCGTAATACACCATTGTAGCTCTCAAACTTCTCCGTCGCAAATAAAGCAGCCGGTCCAAAGCGGAGAATTGAGTCAGCAAGGTGAAGTAGCATGTGAATTTTGGGCTTGTTGACCCATTGCGCAGTGCTCTTGATGAGGTGATAGATGAAAACCCGGACGAGTTGTCGTAGGCTGATTTGATACGCATCCATGTCTGCAATGTGTGTCTGGAACACCAACGGAGCAAGTTGACACAAAGCTGACCATACCAAGCGCTCGTCCTCCGACATGTATTCAAACAGAACAAAGGGGGCTGCCTGAAGAGCTACCTTGAAGTCCTTTCCAATGAGGTTGCTGTAATGTTTGGTGAGGTAGTAAGGCCGCAATGATGGGACATTCAATCCTTTGGTGTCAAACGATTCGTATCGGGCCATGACTTCTGGGAGGACCCCAGCCGGGAGGGATTTCATGAATGATCGCAACATGTATTTGACAATCCCAAGGAGGAAAACATGGAGCACCTCAACTGGGGTGTCAGCACACCCATCAAAGCCTATTTGGAGAAATATTTGCCGCCACAGGTCAACAATTGAATCTAGCAAGCAATCAAATAACAAGGGAACCACCAACCTTTAAGTTGGAAAAACGGACTGAACAAAGCCTCCTTTCCTCCCTGGTCCAAGTTTTTGAGCCCCTGAACAAACTTGACCTCCTCTGCTGTTGCCGCGTCCTTTTTGGCCAATATTTCATACCTCCGATCAATGATGGAGGTGTTCAATACGTCCTTCACACCTAACTTTGTAATCTCTTCCCCAACGGCCGTCTTTGTCCGAGGCTTCTCTGACTTGTGCCATATGTGGTAACAATTCTCTATGATTTTGGCCCACGACCTCTTGGGATTATTAATCTAGGAAAATACAAACGTCAACTTCAACTGTCAATGAAAAAAAATTAAAGTTTATAATTCACTCACCCAAAGGCCAGAGGAATCAAGCATGGTGAACGAGCAGAGATATTCAACAGTGGCCTTATCCTTGACACTGGCTGACGACAGATCACATGCGCGGCATGGGTGGAGTGAATTGGCAGGTATTGGGGTACTTGTTGCCTCAGCATGCATTGGGGAATCCCCCAGGAAGCACAGGACATTTGATGTCAGGAGGACCTCTTCCATTAAGCCAGCATCCCACGCAACGGTTCCAGTGGTTGACAATTGGCTACAAATGTACATTTTTAATCATATTGGTTGGGCGAATAAATGATTAAAGCAAGGGGAAACGTTTCAGAGATTTTTCACACTTCATTTCAGCCACAATTGGGCCAGCAAGCTCCATCGCATTCGCAACGTTTGATGTGGTGAGATAATGACAGTTGTATTGTTGGTTGCTCCAGTTTGGGGGTAGTCCAGACAGTGTGAAATAAAACGAGACATGTTTGTTCCATCGTTTTGACTGATTTCCTGAGGTGTCATCACAATACAAGGTGATGGGCATGTGTCGAATCATCCTTCCCTTTGCGCGGTCCCTCCATGGATTAGGCAGTAAATGTATCACAGTCATGTGAGCGCCCAACTCTGTTGTTAATGCATTGATGGAAGGTACATTGGATTCAGGTTTAATGTGGAATAGCCGTATGAATATACAGCAGGAGAAATACTGACCATAAAGTCTACCCTGACATCGCTGAGATAGCATGAGTCCATCCGGTCCGGCAATATTTGGAAACGCACAATAAAATTCAGAGATATTGATTTCGTGAACGATATCTGAGTTGAAATTGACACGCCAAGGTATAGAGATATGCAGGTTGTGTCCATTGGATTCCGGGTCAAAATCTGGGGTTACACACTTTGACCACAAATCCTCACCTCTTTTATAAAAAAAAATGGGCACAACCACGGAATCGTTGGACAGTTGAACCGGCTCAAATAGATAGAAATCTCCGTTTGAGGTTCGAACCATGGGGGCTCTCGAATCTGGGTCCATATCCTCGAGCCATTTTTTGGATTGAGACAACTTGAATATATTTTTTCCCCTCGCATCCTCGGGATAGTAATCCATTGCGCATGTGACCAAAGGATTGCCTATTTCCTGCGCAAGAATCTTCTGGATGCTTAGGGCGTACGTAGGGTTCCCCAGGATTGAGTACGACTTTTTCACATCCATCTGTAGCAAGTCCCGGTGTTTTTTTTTCTCACGTCGGTTTGTTGTCCAATCAGGTAGGATGACGTGTACCAATGAAAACATTGAGCGGATGCGGTCGTAGATGCTCTGCGAGAGTATTGTGTGCGCATATCCAATGACTAGTGAAGAAATCATGTACTGACAGAAGAGATAAAATAAGCAAGCATCAAGCATGGGGATCGATCAACTGCAAACACACTTCTTTTGTCCGGAAGGGCCACCAACTCCTATCCACATGTGGTCGAGATGTGGTACTGGCTAAGTCTTCATCGCCAACCCTTCCCAGCTCGCGCATTAAATCCAGGTCTTCTGCTGATAGCTCAAAATCCTCGCCATCGGCCTCATCGTTTGAGTTCAAATTGGATAAATCAGATGACGTGTCAAGGTCACTTGCACACGAGTCCAGCTCGTTGTCACTGAATGTGTTGTCCTCTGTATTCGATTCCTCTGTGACCAAAAATTCATGATCCTCTTGGCCATTGGTGGCCAGATCCTCACACGCGGTCCATGATTGGGTGGTTTGATGATTTAACACGTCCAGCGCAGGGTCATCAACCTCATTACCAGCTGAATTTTCTTCCTCATGTCCGGTGAAGCGGGACTCAGGAGTATTCATTGTATCCTTGATCTGAGTTACTCTGCTTTGCATGTTAAGGAAATTATTTTCTAATTCTTGATGTTTTTGGTAATTGATGTGTTTTCGAACGGAACTGATTACCATGGTCCTTGCGCCACAGAGCAAACACGACCATGTCCCACCGTGCGGCTCCTCTGATACTTTATTCCATACAGCTGAAAAAAAATTCAATTATACATTGGTGTGTGGAATGTTTGCAAAGATGTTGTGCTCACCTGGGTTTAGCTCCAAATGGGGTTTGACCACCTTGACCCGGGGCATTGTCAATCCAATCTGTACTTTGCAATTCCTGGAATGCCCACAAGATCCGTGCTGAATCACTGAATAGACAAAATTGTTGTTAGTTTTCTCTGGGACCACACAGGCCAGGTTAAATTGGCCCAGCCAAGTTCAGATTGACTTACCGGTCAAGATCAAGAACTGGTCAATGACAATAAGCCGATCGGTTCCAAAGAGCGCCTATTTCTTGTCGGAGTTCGCCTTCAGACCCGACTGGGCAAGCACGATAAGTGAATCGGTTGCCAAGAGCGCCTATTTTTTGTCGGAGTTCGCCTTCGGACACGACTGCGAAGAATTGCGAGAGGAGGAAATTCCGATGGGGACGATGAGAAGTGAGGGCAGCGGGGTCGAGAATCGTGCCCCTTCGACTCAGATGAACAAGCATCAGGTCGATGATCCTTGGGTGATGTTGTTTCACCCAAGGTTTCAATGGGAAGTCGGGCCGGCACCAATCCTCGTGTTCAGCGGTGCCGGCCGGTTTTCGTTTTATCATCGGTCTTGGAACGACCGATGATCCTTTGCCTCAACCAACCATGGGTGATTTTATTTCACCCATGGTTTTAATGGTGATCCTCCCTGGCCCACCAGGCAGAGACCCATGCGAGGCGTTGGCTGCCTCTTCCTGGTGGAGAAGGGAGGATCAGCGACAACCAACCCGATTGGGATTGGTCACGCAGTACAGTCCAACAATGTCAAAGGAGGAGAGCGGACGAAGTCCCCTCCATTCAAGGCTTCGAGTGTGTCGTTCAAGGCCCGCCCTTCATCATCGGCGTTTTTTGCTCATCGAACCCCCATCAACATCGACTATAGCGCACCGTCTGTTATCGACCTTTTGCTGTGTCCCCCCTTCAAACCCACTATCTGAATTTTTTTTCTTTTCATTCCTCGAGTATCTCAAATACAACGACGATTGGTGAGCTACATCAACCGCCTCTTTTTTCGGTTTTTGCTTCTCTCAAATACAACCTTGGACAGCTCTAAGCCAGGTCAGTCTCGCTCTTTTTTAATATTTTTTTTCCACTGCAGTATTTGGGCAGGATTGCTGATTGAAGAGCCATCCTTGCTCGCGTTATACCTGATAGTTCTTCAATCGACCCGGACGACTTCTCGATTCAGGCGAGGAATTGTCGAGAACACTTATCGAGCCGATCCTCGCGAGGCAGTGAAAGGTCAGTATCGCTCTTTTTAGTTTATTTTTCCCTGCAGTATCAATCCCATCCCTTCCACATTGATTCATCTATCTTTCGCTTCGAAGTCTGTTTTTTTTGGGTTTACGTTTCCTCAGATACTTGCCACGGACGATAGCCGTCGATTCCAAGCGGTATTTTTTTGGCTTTACATTTTCTTCAGATACTCGCAACCGACGATAGCTGAGTGCGTTGACCGATACCCTTTTTTTGGTCATTCCAGTTTCCTCAGATAATCCTCGCGACGGTCGAACGCTGCGCTACTTCGACCGATAATCTTTGATCGCTGTTGCGCCTGGCTGTCCGGACGGCTTTCTGACTACATTTTCTTCCAATACTCGCGACGGCCGATAGCTGAGTGCGCTATCTCGACCGATATTCTTTTTTTTGGTGATTACAATCTCTTCAGATAGAACCTCGCGACTGTTAATAGCAGTGCTACATCGAACGATCCTCCTTGATCGCCGTTGCCCCTGGCTGTCCGGACAGCTTCCTGACTGGGGTGAGTTTTGACAACCTCCTTTTTTGCCTGTACCGTTTGAGTCGGATAAATTTCTAATTTGTATTCTTTACTAGCTCCCATTTGGTTGGAGCAGAGTAGGTCAGACAGTCCTCCGCATCTGTTCATCAACAAAAATATCAATCTTCGAGCCTTAACACATCCAGTCTAATTTTCTTTTGTGGTTCCAATACACCATCGCACAGGACAATAGCGGAGATAATCAGACCATTAGTCTGTATTCACTGTTAAGCCTGGCCATCCAGCCAACCTTGTGCATTGGGTATGTTTTGATAATTTTCTTCTCTTGGCTATAGCTTATGGGTAGAATCCATTTTGATTTTGTTATCTCTCCTGGCTTGCATTTGGTTCAAGTAGCTCAGACAGTCTGTCTTCCCATCCGGACACCATCTTGACAGATTCTTCAAAGACAGATAAAAGACTTAAACACACTTGGACGACACTCCGATTTCTGTTTGCCATGTCTGTAGTTGTTTCTTCAGCCTCTGAAAGTGAGTATCAAGTCAGCAACCAATCCCCCTCGCCCGCACCGGACACGCCTGGCCCCCGGTCTCGTGTGACGACACAGTCTTCCACCCGTGAATCTCAGACTGGGGCCCTCAGGCCTTCAGCCCGCCATACCCAAGGGGATAGTGACCAATCTCCCTCGCCCCCACCTGACACGCCTGGCCCGCACACGCGTGTGACGGCACGGTCAAACAATCACACGCGTGTGACGGCACAGTCAAACAATCGTGAGGCTCAGACTGGTCCCATCAGGCCGGCGGCCCGCCGTACGCATGGGAATGGTGGCCGACTACCAGCTCGCCCTCAAAGGGGTGCTTCCACCACTTCAGCTGCCCCGCCGGCCCGCGGTGCCTCTCGCCCAAGACCTGGTGGGCATGTTCAATCTCTACATTCTCCTTGTACCTGATACTGACAGGTGTCTGTTTCCTTTTTAGCCAATCTCCCCGCAGTTCCGAGCAGAGCCCGGCCCGCGGCCTCAAGCTCAAGCACTCGACGAGCAACAGCCATCCAAGCCCCTGGCAATGAGGCTGACCCCCAGGCTGTCCGAGCCCCTGGGAATGAGGCTGACCCCCAGGCCGTCCAAGCCCCTGGCAATGAGGCTGACCCCCAGGGAGCGTGGCCCCCAGCTACAGTGCATCTTACTCTTGATGACGAGCCTATCAACGACGAGTTCATCTCAGAGGTCGATGCCATCTTTCAGTTGGGTGGGCCATATGCTGACCTTGGTGAACAACTGGCCTATGTATGTACTGTACCTAATCACCCTTCAGACAACATATCATCTTAATCCCCCCCCCAAACAAAAAACCAAAAAAATAAACCAAACAAAAATACTCAGGTACCATTGCCTAGGCAATATGTCGTTGGGATGTATGGCCTCTTATCAGTCAGGCAAGCAATTGAAAGGCTCCGCCACGATATTCTCAATGCTCCACGTGGTCGAGGGGCCCAATCAGCTGCAGTGTCCACGGTGTTCCAGGCTGAAAACTTCCACTACGTGGCAGTATTTAGCGTACGTCTCACTTAACCAAGCTGAAGTTGCTCTGCCACCCAGCTGAACAAATTAATCTAGGACTATGTCACCCGACAAGCCCGAGAGCTTTTGATGAGCCGAAATTTGGGCGTCTACAGTTCTGAGGCCCCACGGGGGGCTCCCAGGAGGGCGAGAGGTGTCCTCACTTTAGTACTGGTGGGCCTATCTCATGTGTTTCCATTCCTTTTTGCAACTCACTAATATGGCTTGTTGCCCAAATCAGGAGAAGATTAATGAACAGAGTGACGAGTTCAAGATCCGTTACCTGCCACGTGGTTATTCTGATCCGGATCCCGCTGCCCAACGCAGTGTTACCACATATGTGCGAGGCAAACTTAGGAATAGCCGAGGCAAAATGAGGGACTTGGTGAGCTCGAGTTCTGTAATCTTGCAATTGTGTGTGAACTAACAGCCAACTTTGTTCAGCTCCTCACAAACATCAATATGAGATCTGAGCTCCCGGTTCCAACAATTTCATCCCTATTGACTTTGGTAAGCAACAGCTCCCCCCTCTTCATGAAGGGTGGTGACTCACCTGCTCCACATTTTTACATCTGTGAATCTACAGATGAGGTCTAGTTTGATCCCACCGCTCCCGAACAATGCACCGGCAACAGACACCACAGCCCAAGGGCGGAGGGACTATGCTCTTCTGAAGGCGCGGTTGGCTTATCTGTGATTCCAAACAATCATTAACTACATACGCGAAGGGGGGCAATCCAATCGCCAATGGAAAAACATTGATGAACACTTGCGTGACTTGGCCTATAAGAGCCGCGAATACCGATCAGCGTACGTATAATTTTCAACTTGGCCATTAATTGTGAAAATGATGCAATGGTTCTTTCACTATTTGCTTGAGACAGTTTTTACCAGTTGGTGACCAGATACGATCGCGAACTTTTTGGTGGCGAGGTGGTGTTTTCCAACATTGATCGGGATTCCATTGCTCTTCCAACACACGAGGATATAGAGGCTCTTGTTGCAAGCAATGCCGGTGTGGACATTGAAGCTGTAGCAGATCCTGGAGAGGATGTCTGAAGAACCCACTTGGGTTGTTCACCTTTTTCTTTTCTCATGTAAATAGTGCTTGTTTCTTTTTCAGGCTGATTTGCACTGGTGCATTTCTCAATCAGATTTTTGTACATTTTTTGTTGTTGTTGTTGTTGTTGTAAATGGCCAATCATATTTTTCAGTGTGTTATTCACAATGCATACATATCATTTCACTATTTCATTCACGGTGTGATTATTGTGCGATGGGTATCCTTGGGCTAGCTAGTGGATGGGCATAAGACATTTTTTTTATGCCAAAAAAATGGCACAATGCCGTCTGGGTGACGGCCCAGGGACGCCACATTCGAAAATCCTGCTGATGGAAATTCTTTGAGGAGACGTCCCTGAGACACCTCCAGGACGGAAGTGGGATGAATTGGGGGGCCGTCACGAGGATGCTCCACGTGAACGTCCCAGAGATGGCCTTTTATTTCTGGAGGAGCACGACCCTGGGATGCTCTGGTATGTGGGGTCTGCTGTCCTGGGGCCGTCCCCCTGGACCCTGCCCCTGGGACGTCCAACTGCACTGGTGGTGTAGGGCCCATGTATAATTGGGTTCCTTTTCTGCAGAGAGGAACACCTAGCGACCAAAAATGACTTATTTGAAGAATTAATTGCAGCTATATGACGAAGCGGCATGTTGTATTTGTTGGTTTTATACTTTTAGTCCAGAAAAATGGCTGTAGGATTGTGGATGAGCAAACAAGAATGAAGACATGTGCCCTTCTACACCATCCATCTTGAAATAAAGTTGATGATGTACAGTGGGTAGACAGTGAAAAGTGGCTGCTTATTTTGGATGCAAGAGCTCTTAAACACAGACTTGAAGTCATGAGACTTGGTCAGGTGGTGCATACTAGGTCCCAAAAAATGAATATGAAAAAATAAAAACAAAAAGTGAAGTTTCAAAATTTGTGAAAAATAAAAAATAAAATTGATTTTTTTCAAAAGCTTTGATATTCATTTTGGGGGAGTGGGAGTGCTGAGAGAAAGAAAGAATGGAACATGGGAAGAATGATTATAAATGAAAAAAATTGGAACCAAAAAAGGTTTGGCCAGGTTGGTTGTCCAGATTGGAGCCAAAACAGTAAATTCTAGTGCTTTACTGCAATGTGGGCTGGTGAATGCCCCCCCACTCAACAGCTGTTTGAAGCCATCTGTTAACCATTTTTCCCAAAAATTTCATTTATAATCGTTCTATCATTCCCCAATCTTTCTTGCTCTCAGCACTCTCACTCCCCCAAAATGAATTAATATAAAGCTTTTGGAAAAAATAAATTTTATTTTTTATTTTTCACAAATTTTGAAACTTTTTTTTTGTATTCATTTTTTAGGAACTATTATGCACCACCTGACCAAGTCTCATGACTTCAAGTTTGTGTTTGGAATCTCTGGGATCCAAAATAAGTAGACATTTTTCACTGTCTAGCTACTGTACAAGGGCTTCAAATGGAGTGTGTCTTTTGAGGTGGTCAATTCACATCTTGCCATGATGATTGCATATGGTCTTCAGGGTTGCGTGAGATGGAGTGTTTGCATCTTGATCTTCAAGGGGGAACACCCGCTATGGTTAATTTGGTAACCTTTTCTTTTAGAGCTTCAGTCAATCTTCTATGGATGGGATGAAAATGTGGATTGTCAGAAGCAAAGTAGTTGCAATCCAGATTCTTCATTTTGATTTGGTAGCATCCTTGCTTCTTGTAGAAAGGTTTGCCAACATTTTTGAAGGACAGTCTATCTTTTTGGATTCTCCTAATATGTTGACGTCCTTTCTATCCAGATGGTCAGATTGGCTACATTTGAAAGTGGCTTGGTCCTCCCCATTGGAAGTTGTGGTGTTGTTCTTCTTGATGGTATACCCATTGCCAGATGACTGTGACCATAAATTTTGGGTTTTGTTGAAACAGGACATTGAGATATGTGCGGGCAGGGCAAGTGAGGGAGAGGAAGGGAGATAGTATGAAAGAGATAGATGAAAGCAATAAGTTTGACGACAACAAGTTCACCACAATGCTGTGAGATATGAGAGGGTAGGTAAGGTATTCTCAAGAGAAGGAGGAGGTTGAAACTCAACCCAAGAGATACTTTTAGAACCAACTTAGGACCATCCAAACCATAATTAGTAGATTGCTAATCTACTAAGGTCAACTATGCACCCAACTTGAGGTGACTTCCAGAGAGAGAAACCAAAAAGATCAAGGTGAGCAGAACCAAACACCACACAATGGTGCAACAAAGTAACATTATTCAACAAATAAGCCGGACAATTACACTGCACACTGAGCTACCAATTTGAGTGATTGGTATCAGCAGGTCAAACTGATAATACAGGAAGTAGAAATGATGTAGATAAAGGGTTTGTGATGAGCAAGAGTCTAAGGGTTCATAACCTGTTATGGCTATGGCAGATAATTATGGTTTTCTTACTAGAAAGGATGATCATCCTGAAGCTCCAGACTAGTCCAAAGGTATTTCAGGTGCCGTGCTGCAGTGAGTATGTGACTTGTAGCATAAATGTTACAAAAAGTTGTTGTACAGTCATTCAAATGGAGTATTATCTCAAGAGTTATAAAGTTACTGGGTGAAACATCACATCTCACATCCTTTGTACATGTGGTGACACAAGTGCTTGTTATAAAGTCCTCACCTTTTGAAACCTGATTCTCCCCTTGACAAGGTATGTCTAATTCAATTGAGCTCTCTTACAGTGTATAGAATCTGGAGAATACTAGATGGTCAGCATCATCACCATTGTGTTACTCAGTTGGAAGAATCTACCCAATCAACATCCCTCCCCAAGCTCAGAAATGTCTCCAGTGGCTGCCACACCCTTGTGATAGCAGCCATCAGTCAAGACTGTTGAAGAGGCACATGCACCTCTTCCAAAAACAGCACCATTTGTTATCTTGCCTGAAGTGGGGTTGTATTCAACAAATTTGGGTCCCATCTACCCTTATCAATTTAAAAAAGTGGAGCAAACAAATGTCCACTGATATCTGTCATCAACTGGTCCTGATTTCAAGCCCTTTGATCCCCAAACCTGATGCCAATCTCAATCACCAAAAGACGGACCTCTGGTACAGCCATGTCTGGGCTTTCTATCTAAATACCAGCTCACCTGCAGCTATCATTCCTCTTTGTCACTGTATCAATCAACCGGGCCATAATAAACACAATTTACATTTTCCAAAAAAGCGGAATGTGATCCTCCCCTGCGCAGTTTACCATTCAATTATGCACTCTGTGAAGCATGACCTCACAAAGCTGTTGCAGATTACATACTACCCAGCTGACTGTTGTTTTTAGCATCCATTCCATACCCTTCTTAGCTCTATGGAGTTCTTCCCTTTCCCGTGCTATTTATGTCTTACTTCTCTTCTCTCTTGCACTAATTCTTATCATTTCTAGTTGTACTTCTTAGAAGAGAGCTCTTCTCTCTTAGATGCTACCATTGGTTCTGGAACTCCTCCCTGGCATACTGAGCCTTGCAAAAAGTGGAATCTTGAACACTAATGGTTCCTGAGCTCTCTCCAAACAGTATCCTGGGCACTTGATGTGATGATGATGATAAAGTGTTATGAATATATTTCAGTGTATGAAAAGAGATAATAATTATCTGACTCTGACTTGTAGTTTGAGTATAAAAGTCCACCAGCAGGATGATGGTGAGAACAACTGGCAGGCAGAGGCCTCCTTTCGTAGACAAATTTAGGGCATTTAGCTGCAGGGTACAGGCTCTGAGCAAATTTAGATGACCTGAAAATCAAATGAGAGAATTCTGCTAGTCTACAAGGTTCTACCACAAAGCAATCCAATATCCAATGTAAGATAATAATTAAGGAATTTAATAGTCAATATACAGTGTGTATTCATCATCTGTTGTGTGGTTAGACCAAAGAATACAAGAAATGTCATGTGACAGGCTGAAGTAAATGTAACTTCTCAACTAGGGGTGATAAGGGGTAGCTGTAGTGAGTGACTAGGGGCTATGGTACCTGTGGAAGACATATCTGAATCTATTTTTGCCACACATTGAAGGTATAAAGAGATAAGGAGAAATATTCATATCTTCTGTGTTGATAGAAACTCAGTATTGTTTACCCCACCAAGCCAAGTGGTCAAAAGCTTGGCATTTGGGTGGACTGCTACCCATTTGGAAGTATTGTGCTGGTGCGGAACTAATCAACCAGAGCGATAGAGCTTGGAGGGGATATAGTCAAAGACACTAGTACTAGTGTAAGTTGATACTGAAGGTGCTGATGACGCTACCCTCCTGTATACTGCTGATGGGAAGAGTGTAACACTAAGAAAAAAAGGAGAGGTGTGGCTGATTTCTACTTTATCTTAGATTGCTACTACTGATGAGCATGTGTATGTAGTACCTATTGAGGTCTGAGGAGGAGGAGCACTGAGCTGGTGTGAGTAGAGAATACTGGTAAGGGCTTATAAACACTGGCAAAGTGTGATAAATGGCAAGGGGGTCTTCTTCTAACTGGCAAAGATAAACAGGTGATCATCATTTCTAGTACTAAAACTATGGATAGACTCAGATACAGCATGCATAAAAATTGCATGAGGGATACATAGAGGGGGAAAAGAAGAATAAATATATGTGCAACAACAAAGCACCATGGCTAGGGAGATCCAGCATTAGGTTAAAGTATAAATCTTAAGCTGTAATGAGCAATGAGAAATAATGTAGCTAAGAGATAGATGTCCTGTGTATACACGTGTGCTAATCATAGACAGAAAGTCAAAGCTGTGTGAAAGAAATATGTATATGATGCATATTTTTAAGGTTGTCCTGAATGAAGTATGTAGTTAAAGCTATGCTGAGTATGTGTTGTATTATGTAGTATTGGTGATTTACTCTCATGAAAGAGTAATGCTACATCAATATAGTGTCTAGATAATGAGTGCTGTATATGTACTGTATGTATAATGTAATGTACTGCTCTGTAACTATGAATATACTGATGAAAGGATAACTAGAGAACTACAAGAGATGACTATGGGGTGAAATGTTGTGTAGAGTATGAATATAAAATAATTCTAAGAGCGCAAAATCATATGAAAGAAGATGATACATGGAAAGGACATACCACCCTGGGTTCTTTCACTACAGTAGATTGTGAAGTTAATTGAGCACACACAGAGGACCAGAGGGCCAAGTCCCAGGACTCTGAAGCCATTGGCAGTGAGAGCAGGAAGATGCTTGGAAAGTGGAGTGGACATGCCATTTTCAGTAAGGTTGACCATTTGTGGTAGGTAATAGCGTTGCAAGCTTAGATTGGGTGAGTTGTTGAAATAAGCCATTTAGTTGGAAGTGGTAGTGGATGAACAAGTATCAAAAGAAGTAACACCCACAAGGGTGACACTACTAGGTATAAATAATGGTAAGCTAGAGGTCATGTGTTGAGTCAACAAGACAAGGGCTCAATGGTTGAGACCAAGTGGAGAGTAAAAGGAATCCCAAATTCAGTGCCCCCTTGAATATCCATAGAATTGAAGAGGCCATCAACAAACAATCTCACTGGTTGGTCCAGGGATAATGTTGATCCAGACAGAATAAGATAGTCCAAGGTTTACATTTGATTCAATTAAAGTTGAGCAGTTTAAAAATATAAAATAAGACTCAATGTAGTAGAACTAAAGTGAATTTCTTGGATGGGTCCATGCTTCCAATTATATAATTGACTGGTTTGGAAAAACCCATGCTTTTCTAAACATGTTGGTTATTAATTTAACCCCTTTGGGGTCCATTGATTCAGAAAAAAGCTTTGCAAAAAGTGACTAGTTTCTCATAAAATTTTATCTATAAATTTGCTAAAAGTTGCCTTGAACCGGCCTCTTTGACTCCCCCTAATTGACTGGTTTTGAAAAATCCTTAACATGTTGGTTCTTCATCTTCCACCTTTGGGGACCCTTTGGTGAGAAAATAGGTTTAGTTTGATGATGTATAAGGTTAAAACAAGGGTAAGTCTAGTCTCTGTTAAGTTTGTGATCTTGCCTCTCTACGCTAACTCTAACACCAAGCCCCCATTTACAATTTTTCTTCCACCAATTCATAATAAACCTGTGTGAGTGTGAACCTGCTGAGGTAACAATTCCAACTACTCAAGACTAAACTTTGCTTTCCTCTACCCTGAATCCTTCTCATTGGCAGTAGGACTCTTACCAGGGGTCCCCATTTGTAATCTGACTTCTGGTGATTCAGAAGAAAGCTGTGTTAGGGTGAACGTGTTGTGAGGTAACTACTACTAAGAACCTACTAACAAGTCAATTGAAATAAATATATTTTATTCCTTTACCCTCAATCCTTCTCAACTCATTCAGATCATGGAAGCTCATCTGTCAAAGATCTAGAAGAGCTACTGAAAGAACCTTGCATGTGGCAGAAAGCGCCTCCACAATCGCTATGCCAAAATCTTGCAGAAGGAGCATTGGATCCAAATAAGAAGATTATTTTGTCTACTTGTAAATATTGTAAATGTCACTTGTGCCCCACCATTTCTAAAGGCAAGCTCATTGCTAACCAACTCAAGAAAGGCTCAGAGGTCAACTGCAGAAGAGCTTCATACTGCCATAAAGACAGTTGACAGTTTACATGCTTTCCACCATGGAAAAGTGATTGTTCTAGCACTACAAAACGTGTTGGATCACATTTTGAAAATGCGCGATAACATTGCATGTCACATGCGATGTCACCTCGCATTTTCAAAATGCAATTGAATTTTCAGCACTGGCAATTCAATCGCATTTTAAAAATGCAAGGTGACATGCAATGTTATCGCGCATTTTCAAAATGCGATCCAGCACGTTTTGTAGTGTAGATGAACCAAACCATGGGGAAATAATCACCATCATCAAATTTACCCCTCAACAAATTTTCTAAATCTGAAAAGAAATACAATCAACTTTGTCCCAATTTTCCCCCACAAATCCACCAAGTTTTTCTGAATGGTGGGACCTTCACAATTGTGGGGTGGTAAACATGTGGGCACTGGGTTTGTGCAAAAGTTTGAAGACACTCAATATCTTTGGACATTATACCCAACATACGGTAGGCTATCATCCAAGAAGGGATATCGAGACCTTTATGCAGACATGAAGGCAGGTCTCCAACATCCTTGTGCAAATCTTCAAAAAAGTCAGTCAAATCCCATTTGAATTCAACAAAAGCAATCTTGAAAGACAATCATATCCTGTCCTTTGCTTGCTACAAATTCATCAAAAAAACTCTCTACACCACCCTCACCACAAACAGCTCTCAAAACACTCCTGAAACAGACAAAGGCAATTGTTCCAATCTTGCCTTTGTTCTATTTGTTTCCACAAAAACTGTGAAAGGAACTCTAGTCAGCTCCTCCAACAATTACAATGTCTCAGGCAGCCACTTTGTATTCCCAAATCATCATTAGTATGATTTTTGTTTGCGGGGTGATTCTTTCTGGTGAGTTGGTTTGAAGCTGATTGTCTGATGGTTTGCAAAACAATGTCTTCCCAGAAGACATGTATCCAACCATTAGGACAGGCTTTTTCATACCTGGTACCAGCAAGGGAGTAATGCACTGGAGGAGGGATTTGGGATGGATTGAGGCCAAGTTGAATGTCATGGCCGGAAGATGATGTGGTAGGGCAGGCACTTGTGATTGATTGAATCCAGGATCAGATTGAGCTGGGTGATGATGTTTAGAGCTCTGAGATTGAGGTTGAGCAAGAGCAGCAAAAGGTAGATAGAGTGATGTGGAGTACTTATGGCTTGAGATTGAGGAACTTTCTGATAATGTATTGGGGGGGGGGATATTACTACATAGTGGTTTGGGCAGTTTGGTTTGGAGGTTTGCTTGAATTGGGTGAGGTGATGCAGAGTCTGATACTAGCTGAACTAAACAAACCTCTTGAATGGAGGCTCAATTTGCAAGGGGTGCTCTGCGCAGGCCAGGTAGCTGGCCCAATAAAGCAAGGGGCTTGTGTTAAGCTGGAGTCTATTAAGGGCTTGTATGAGTGGCACATGTTGTAGGGACATACAAAGAACTGGTGTGATAAGGAGCTGTTGAGGTTTGAGGTGCTGAGGACTTGCTATAGTAGGTATGCAGAGCAACATGATGACTGTCATGATGCCTAACCCCTCCGGAGTTATGATAAGAAAACAATTCAGGGTTTGCAGTTGGTGAGGGGTCAAAAGGTGGGTTGGATACGGTAAGCTGCTGAGGGAATTAGGTATTGCAGCAGTTTGGATGGAAGGGCATAGATAATTGTTTTGAAGAAAAAGATGAAAGGATGTGTATTTATATGGTAGCAGACGTCCCATCAATCTGTGGAGTTTTGGATGAATTTGGTGAGGATGGTGGCTTCACAAGCCAGGGAACCAACCTGATATCCTTCATGGGGTAGAAGAAAGGAAAAATGAGTCAAGCATCTTTGGATAAGCAAACCCAGCCAAAGTTGAGGAAAGGAACAAATATTCAAACATGAATTGAAAACTGATTGGATCCTTGGCCTGCTGGACAAGCTGGTTGGTTTGAACATAAACTGATTCTTGGTTGTCCAACCTTGATCTGACCCAATGGAGGATCTCCTGCTGGAACTGTTCAAGGGTGTCTACTAGTCCTAGGTGCAAGGGATGATACATATTGCTGGTGCTGGACAATATGTGAAGGGAAGTTGGAATGAATGGTGTTGAGAATCCTCCTGACCCCATCTGAATAGCAGGGTTCATGATAGGATTTTGTCAGGAAGAAAGTCAAGCTACTCAGTATTTGGGAGCACTCAAACCTTGGCTTAATTTTTAGACAAAATTAAGCTCAATATTTAACTGATTGAGGAAAGGTTTTGTGAAGTTTAAGCCTTAATCTGCACTCAGGAACCCTTGAAGCTTCCTGAGCTCAGGAAGCCTTTGAGGTTCCTGAGTTGGGATTCTGAGCTTATATCCTGGCTTAAATTAAGCTCAGGATTTCACAATTCAGGAAAAATTTAAGCTGGGTTCAGGAAGCAAAAAGCTTATTGTGAACCCCGCCAATGGCTAATAGACATGTGTAACTTGTAATGTAGTGTTTATTATTACAAGAAGAGTAAAAGTAAAAGAATATTGACTATTCGGTGGAGGGGCTTCTGTGGTTAGCCATGTCTACAATTGGACCCCATTCTTCCTTGAGGGCATGTAATTCATCCACAACACTTCTCCAGCGGTCATTGGCCTCATTAGTCAAGGATTCCTGCTGTCTGACAATTTGTGTGAGCTGAAAAATGTTCTGGTATAGGGTCTCAATGAGTACTGTGGCTCTGCAGGAAAATTAAATGAGTGATATGTATGTCAGTGTAAGCAAAGTACAGTGCCCTCCCAGATGTATATAGCCAACTTGTTTGGATTACACAACCCTAACCCACCAACTTGCAATAGACTTGGGCAAGTGATATAAAACAGGTTTCCAAAAATGATTTCAAAAACACAAATATGAAAAACCAATTTTCAAAATTTTCAAAAAATATTACAATTATTGCACTTTTTTCAAAAGTCTTAATATTGCTCCAAATGAAAAAATAAAAATTGGAAAGAGTGGTAGCATGGTATGCGATGAGAATGATAATAAATGAAAAAAATCAACACCAGAAATTATTTGGACCTCAGTATCCCGCTCAAAACACAAGTTGAACTTGATAGCACTGCCTCCTCCACTGTTTTTTCCACTGTGAGACTGATGAATGTCTCCCTCCACACCAGTTTAAAACCATCTGGTAGTTATTTTATCATAATTTTCATTTATTATCATTTCTCCAGCATACCATACTCCAAGTTCCAATTTTTATTTTTCCATTTGGAGCAATATCGAGACTTTTGAAAAAAGTGCAATAATTGTAATATTTTTTGAAAATTTTGAAAATTGGTTTTTCATATTTTTGTTTTCAAAATCATTTTTTAAACCTCTTTTATACCACTTGCCCAAGTCTCATGATTGCAAGTTGGTAGGTTAGGGTTTTGGAATCCAAACAAGTTGGCTATATACATCTGGGAGGGCACTGTACATTAGCAGGATGAGAGGGAAAAAAAGAGAGAGCTCACGTTCTTGGAATTTACAATTGCTGTGAGCCTCAGAACATGTTTTACACTTCCTTGTGAAGGGTACAACCTTACAAGTGTCTTCCAAGAGGTGTTCCCTGCAAAAATCACAGCCATACTCTAAGGCATTTAAACAGATTAGTGCAATATTCTTATGTAGTAATTTTATTATAAATAAATGGTCCACTAATTACAATGTTGACCATTTTGTCAAAGGGTGCTTAAATTTGTTTTATTGGTGAATGTGTTTGTTTTCTTTGGTGTGTGTGAGGTGGTTTTGATTGCTGATGGGGGGAAGTAGCCAGGAAAGGCACTTCTTAAATTGAAGTGCCTTTCCCTGAGACAGACAAAAATCAAACCCCTGGGGACTGGCATTCTCCAGTCCCTGAGGCATATGTGATGAGGGGCTGAATAACCCTAGGAGACTGCCCTGGGTGTGGCCCATCCCTAGCTTGATCAGAGAAAAACTGTATCTAGTTTTCTCTTATCATCAAGCACAAATCATTTGCAGTATTTAGAGCTTCAAAAAAAACAAGAGACACACCCCCCTGCTGGAGATCCCCAGTTACCAATCTATCAACCTGCTCATTGCCAGCTTGTGTCTCCTCTTCAAAAATAAAATAAAAAAACAGCTTCAATGGAGTGATATTCTGGATGGTCTGATTGATAACTCCTGCTCTCTACTTTGTAAACTCAGTGGATCATCAGTGCTTGGTCGTCTTTCTCTTTCCCCTTAGTTGGCCTCTACTACACCTCTTTCCCCTTTATCCAGCCTCTACTACGCCTCCTTTCTATGGATGTTTTCACACACAACTGTTTCACCTTCTGAAATGACAATCTACCTAGTTCCTTCATTTTCTGGAATCATGGCCTCCCCAATGCTCATGATTCATCAGTTGAAATCTGGAAATCCTCAATGCGTAGTGTCAGACGCTCGGATTGTGATTATGGGTTGATCAAAGGTAGCAGCCAATCCATTTCTCTTCAAAACCTCCACAAAAGCCAAATCAATGACAAAGGGTGATCGGGAACACAGTGTAAATTTCAAATATACAAGCTGCTAACAAAGACTACATCTCTGCAAATCAGAGCCTGGCAAGCTTTCATCTTTTTGCCCAATGAAATATGACCGATGATCCTTGCCACATCTCAAACCTCTCAACAGGATTCATCTAAGCGAGTCACTGTCCGTACAATCACACCTTCTTGGATCTTGCTCATCTCCATCAATTCGGAAAATGGCTATGTAGAGTGAATCAAACCAACAGAATGAAGAGAAGTTGAGTCAGGGGCTTTTTCATGGACCAAGCAAGGGATATGTATGCGACTCACCATGCCCTGAGCCCATTGCCAAACTAATCCTACCGTCCCCAAGTTCAGTCTACCCTTGCCCAAATCAGCCTGGTCATGGGTTAGGGTTATCAAGGTTATGCCTCCAACATCACCAGCAGGACCTAATTGTTAGATCTTGTAAAAGTAATTGAAAGGACTTAAGAGGGAGTGAGGCAAGATGATACCATTATGGGAAACACCAGTGAGGTAATACCTTGATCAAAGCAAACTTCAAAGTCTATAATATGAATTATCTCTTTGGTAACCTCAGAAGCTTATGTGTTTCCTGGGTGTCCTTCACCAATTTCAAAAAGGTGACCAAGCACTGAATGGATGGCAGCAGTCAGGTTGTCCCAGGGCAGGCATCTCCACATTTCAACTCCTATCCTTTGATTCTGCTTTGCAATGTTGATGAGTTTGAGGGGTGGGTTTGCAATGTTCCAAGTTGAGGAATAACATTCAAGATGATTTTCAGCTTGGCATACATTCAGTTATTCCAAAATCCTTCAACATTGGAGCAAGCATATAGGGTGGAATATGTAGTTCATTGGAACAAGCATATAGGGTGGAATATGTAGTTTCATTTTTCTGGCTTCAGTATTGGATCAAAAAAAGCCATATTACTAAATCAATGTAACTGCATGATCAGAGCATCTTGCCTAGGATCACCTGGCTTTAAAGTCTGTTGATAAGCTTGATTATCAGATCCCACAGGTGTAATTGGAATGGGTCTGCTGTTTGCAGGAAGTTGAGTAAACTTTGGCTGGACTTTTTTTGATCTATACTACAGAATTTGCTGGTCTTCAATGCATTAGATGTCCCATAAGACCCAAGCGTGGGTCCCATGAGATAAGACACGGCCTAAGCCCATATTCATATGGGTTTAGGATGCTGGTTGGTGTGCCGCTCTGCACACCAACCTGCGGGGGATATGCCCCTGCAGGCCATTGGTGTGCGGACCTGCACATCAATTTTGAATGGTGTGTGGTACCACACTCCCCTCAGAGTCTTAAAGGAGTGCGGGAGTGTGTGCGCAAAGGGGGCATGAGTGTGTTTATCATGCCCTTTCTCAACAGCCATCAACGGTACCAGCAATACGGCCATCACAGTTCCATCTCCAACACACTAGTGTGATCTTTCTTAGTCTCCCTGGCCATTGATTGTTAGCTGGCAAGCAAAACCCAGTTACCCCTTAGCTTGTCAACTTCTTGTTTTGCTACACCAACTGCACTCTTCATACATTTCACACACCTTTCACTCATTTTCATTCATTTCACTCCTTTCATTATTAACATACTTTGAATATGTTTGTATCTATTGGAATCTTGTAGATACATATATATAAGTTGTACTATCTGAGTTTGCTTGTTCCCCAGACTTTCAGAAGAGACAAAAATAATAAGATCTTGTGACAAGGAACAATCACTAAAGATAAAGATGGTTTTGATTCAGTGTGTGAAGTAATCATGATGTGGAACCAAGTGAACTGAATACAACTTGGTTGAAGCATACACATGATGTGAGCATCTCAACATAGATTGAGATAGAGGAATGATGGACTCTCCATCAAGATCTTCCCTTGATGGACAAACATGATCAATGGCATCCACCTGAGGAACCAAACACAAATCATGATTAGTTGATATAGATTTCCTGGACAATGCAAAATGCCAGAAGGCTTACCAAGAGTTCAACCATTGACAGGTTTTCCTTCGGCCTGGGCTGTGAAGGATGAATGATAAGTTCAGAGGTGGTGGGATTCAGTGTCATATCAAGTGGGACGCTGTATATATTGTCATAATCCCAGTCTGCAGGGCAGTGATCCTCCATGGTTCTCTTGAAGATTTTGTAAGGGGAGTTCATCTGTGATGATGCTTAAAAGGGGATTGATGGGGATGGCAAGAGCAGTCTGCAAAACTGAAGCATATGTTCAATTTGTTAAGACATATGAACATCTTTGTTCTTGGCCATATTATTATTTTTGGACAAGGGTGTAATTGTGCATACATCCAGGACGAAACCACCAGAATAAATCACACACATGGTCAACAACCCTTACACTTCCATCTGCAATCAACAAAGGACATGCTCAACAACCAAGGCAAAAACGGGTTCTCTGTGCACAGGTTTGACCGGGATGCTGAAGGTTATGCCTCCAATAATGTTTGTTTGGTTTCCTACACAATTTTGGGAATTTATTGATTGATAAAATCATCCCCCTTTCTTTGAAGTGAATGAATGGATCTCTTCCTTGTCATTGAGGAATCTGACAACCATGAGGTCAAGGAGACCTTAGCCAAAGTGTGTGGCAAACAAAACACAAGTGGCTCCTTAATGGAGCAGATACAACTAGTGAGTACATTAGCAACAAAATATCCAAGACAAATGATGAGGGTGAATTTGACTGGAAACAATCCTGGAGGCTTGCGTGAACCTGACGCAAAACCAAGCAAATCTTCCTTTGAGAGGACGCTCACCCATGGCCATCTGGATAGGATACAAAGAAACTTGTGATGGACCTGTCTTTCTCTGGAGTATTCCAATGGGCAATTGTGGTAGATCTGTGAGCCAGATTTGATTCCTGGACACCTGAATAGCCAAACTGAATGAATTGCTCCATGTGATTTTCTCCAAGCTAGATGATTGCTGATTGGTGGCAACTTCTCCTAGATAATAATATTGAGCTACATAGGCTCCACAGAACCATTGACCCACTATTAATATATCAAGAACACACTGGATTGGCCCAAAATCCGATTTGACTTTACCACCCAATCATGCCTGCACCCACAGGAGCCTGATCGTGGTCAACCCGTGTCCTTGATTCTAAAAATATTCTTGCTCAACTCACTAGCACCCTCCCCTACCCATACTACATGATCCATCTTCAAATGAGCTCACTAAGTCATCTAGAACCCCAGGAGTTTTTCAAGGTGATCCTGCAGATGATGTTAGATCCTAAATACCTAAAAGCCATGGAAACAATTGAAAGAAAAAAAACCCATTCAGTTTCTCATGTTTTCTGTTTTGATGTCTTTGTTAATAAATGGCAAATGACTAGGATGACGTGCAAAAGTGATATAACAAACAGAAACAAGACAAGTTAGACTGTGTGACAGAATTGACAACACATGATGTGTCTCAATAGATCATGGGAGTTTCCTGTGATGTAAGAGACACTTGAACAGTTGCTGAAGATTTTGGTGCCTGAGTCCTGAACTGCTTGTTGACGGCTTTGACTACGGTGAATAGGCTGTGTTGTGGCATATGCAAGTAGCATCAATGAGAGCATCCTTGTTTGAAATCGATGAATAAATCAAATCTATATAAGATTGAATCTGGTGAGATGACCTACAGCAGGCATCTTGTCCATCTCATCTTGAAGTGCCTTGTTCTTGGCTGAATCAACCATGGAGCCATTGAATGTTCCAAATTCAGTGAGCAGCCGTAACCTCACAGTGAGAAACTAAACCAAGCAAAGGTGGTCTCAGTCAAAAAAATCAGACAAGGGATCACATCAAAAGAATCAGAGGGAGTTGAACCCACCTGTCACCATGCTGCACTAAACAGGAGTGGGATTTCTTGACATAGGTGTTGGATCAGGTGTCTAACCAATTTCATGTTGAGTGTGCCAATAAGGGAGGTGAAGGATAATGGGTGATCCATTATCCTTGACTCTATTTGTACATCCAATTTTAAAACCAATATTCTGACGAGTGAGCGGGTCTTTTAGAGGATCATCAATGGGCTCTAAGAAGGGTTGAACATTTGTCTGTTGTGTCTGTTGTTAGTTACTTGATTGGTTTATGGAGAAATCTGTGAACTCACAAGTCCCATGCCCATCCCTTGTAGCTGCTAGTGCCTGGTCTAGAGGAACCACATTTGTGAGACACACTGTGGAGCCTCTGGAAAACTGGGTATGAGCCCAAGTGAATTCTAAAGGGACAAATGGAGCGTCCTGTGCCAACCTGAAGGAGTGCGTTGGACATTGTGGTAAGTATGCTGTTGATTATGGCTCTGACTTCCCAATGAGATTATGCTGTTGATTATGGCTCTTACCTCCCAATGAGCTCAACGGATACATCCAACATGAGATGCCCGTCCACCAGGCTGAGAAGTGTGCAGCCCTTTGGGTTGACGGTTCCCGAGTCCAGTAGAGATAATAAATCATCAGAATGAAAGAGTACTCAGATGGTTAATGTGGGACACCAGTCTAACCTATAGGATTGTGAAAAGGATGAACATAGGCCATGGATGGAAACAGAAACCAAATGCTATTAATGAATTTTCAAATTGTCACAGTCCAAATGGAATCGTGTGACGCCATTACCACAAGTTTTTCATGACTTCACATTACACATGGTCAAGAATCCACTTTCATAATGTTGACTGCTTTTTGTATTTCCAGCCTGTCATTCAGCTCTACCAGCTTGACAAAAAAATCAACATGTCAGTCTCCTCAAACAACTTTTATCCAATTGGCAATGACCACTCTGAGGTATATCCTTCAATCTACACTGCAAAGAATGGGCTTATTTGATCAGTCTCAATCAATCCCTTGGCCAATTGGCATCACTAACAGCTGATTTCAAACAAATTGCTTCTTCCCAGATGATGCCCAAGTAGAAGCAACCAGACCGGTTGAAGACAGACCTCCCACAGCTGATAAAGTCACTGCAGAAGAAGAAGATGACCATTCTACCACTCACTCAATCTACTCTAAAGCATTAGAGCCCCTTGACTTGGGTTCTGGTTTGAATGAACCATTCAAAGCAGCCCAGCCTGACAAGAATCTGATTCCAGCAATGGAGATGGAACCAAATTGACCTGCCCAGGGGGTCACAGATCTAGATGAGCCAGGCCCAACCAAGTATGGACTCTTAGTCTGTTTTGAGTCTGAATTCAATACATCCCATGCACAGAGATCTCACACAGCTATGGATAAAACAGAAGAATTTACTCTTGACTTTTTGAAAAAACTAATGAAATGGCCAACCACCTGGCCTGATGCAGTTTGCAGAGGTAAAATTCAAATCACATTGCCAATCATCAAACATAGGCATCCAAAAGCAAAGTGCGGGCTGCTCTCATTTTCAAGTGGAGTTCAAGAGAAGACCTGTAGACTGGGTAAGAAGTGTCTTAGATGTGAGCTAACCAAACGTTGCTAACTGTCATTTGAATGAATCTCCAGTACAATTTTTCCAAGTCTGAGCCATTTCCCATGCAGCAAATTCAGCAAGGTTGCCCATGATAGTACAATGAGGTTTGGAATTCTTCAAACCTTCTGAAAATACACATATTAATTCCTACATGAGTTCTCATCCACAGGGATGTTTTCTATTGTAACAAAAAAACTTTGTGAAGCTGGCTTGTGTGGAAGAGGTGTGTATGTGTGAATGTTTCAATGCACAATTCTGAGACTGAAACAAGTTGCTTTTTGTGCGCCTGACTGCCAATAGAATATAGCTGATCTCACCATAACATTGGGGATTGAGAGGAGACACCTATTTTTTGTAAGGCTGCTTCATTGCTTGGACAAATTAATTACTAGCATACTTGAGGACTAATTCTCTGCTGGTATGCAACTAGTTTTCTGGATCTAGGGGAATCTTTCATGTCAATCTCAAAATCATTGCCAGAGTCAACAATGAGGATGTCACAATTGACTCTGATACCTAAAATGGAGATAGCCAATCAAATCATACCAGGCCCCCATTTGAAGATGGTCTTGATTGTTGAAAAAGAGGTAGGGAGCACTCAGCTGTGTTTACCAAGCTAACCATAGTTCATTCTTTGGTGTAAAAAATGATATAATGTACTAACTAGTAGTAGTATTAACACCTGAGCTCTAGTTGTGATTAAAGTGCCTTAGCAAGAAATTTTTCAAGGAAGAGATCATTAACAAACTCTATACATCAACTCATCTGTCTTGTGCTGAACCATAAGCGCCACAGTTTCCATTATTAGACTGAAGTTGTAACAGACTCATTAGTAGATTGACACGTGATCTAGGTCTGATAGAGATTACTTTACAAAAGTAAGATCTATCTTGGAATCAGCCGCATATTATTAAATATTGATGACAAGACTCTTAGTTATTTGTT